AAAGTAAGTGAGCAAAAGCAAACAGATATGATACAGCAACCACTAGGTATTATTTAATTGCTTCTCTGCCTCAGACTTTATCAGTTGTATTAGTATCAATCCTCTCATCAAGTCATGTCTGAGCCCTACAAAACTCTGACGTGGTTGAGTTAAGCCTAACCTCTCCTTAATTAGGATGTGAACTATTGCAGAAATATTATATCAGTATTGCAAAATGCCAGTATCAGTATATGTAGAGGTTGACAACATGGTAGAGCATTATAATGGTATTTTTATTGGATATAAGATCTGAAAATAAGTAAAAGAAATCTAGTAACTGAATCAGAAAATTGCCAGCCAGCTTTATGATTTTTTGGAGAATACTGCTTGACTTGAAAATCTTATCCTGTTAACTAAGTAAGGCTTTCTGCAAAGAAAAAATAGCAATACACACTTTCTTCTACATAGTCTAAGTTGAGTCAGTGACTTCCTTGACCGATTCATTTTCATTGTTATGACGGTGAACAAGTGCTTGACATATGCTGTTGCACTCTCTGTAGAGGTAACACTTAATTATCACACCAACTGGATTAGTGCTCAGGCCTGCCAGCAATGACGACTTGAATTAATGACACATGAAAAGCAATCTCCGCACCCTGGAAATCCAAGGCCAGCAAGGGCACCCGCAGTTCCGCACATAATAAACATCCCATCATTGTGATGAGCACTTTACCTCCTACCAGAACTGTAAATCTGCTCAACTTTCCTCCTTCAGGTTCATCTGTGTCCGGAGGGCATCCATTACCCTGCTGCTTCGCAGTCTCATTGAGGTCCTGCGCTTTCACTTTTCCACTAAGAAGGCTTCAGAGTAAACACAAGTCCAGAATGTGCAACAAGAGAATTTATTAATTTACTGGTATTACTGTATATAAAATAAAAAAATTGTGCTATTCTCTCTATTCTTATATAGCTTACCAATAGACTTGAAACACATTCACAATACACATGATATATTATCACAAAAAATATGTTTTAAACCACCAATAACTGACTCTTTTGGGCACTTGCGGTTTCTGAAACAACACAATATTGTCATTTGACATATAATAGCATTAGTGTAGCAATAGCATTAGCAAATTGTTTGCTTGTTTACACATCCAGCAGTTGCAGAGGAACATCTTAATTAGTCTGGAGCTGTGTTTTCAGCCAAAGTCCATTACTGGCTCTCTGCCTACTCCTGAGGGAAATGTCTACCTCCACCTACAGATCTCACAAAAGTGAATACACCCCTTTTTGTTAATATTTGATTATATCTTTTCATGTGACAACACTGAAGAAATGACACTTTGCTACGATGTAAAGTAGTGAGTGTAAAGCTTGTGTGAATTTGTTGACCCCTCAAAATAACACATCACACAGCCATTGTCTAAGCCGCTGGCAACAAAAATGAGTACACTCCAAATTGGGACCAAAGTGTCAATATTTTGTGTGGCCACCATTATTTTCCAGCGCTGCCTTAACCCTCTTGGGCATGGAGTTCACCAGAGCTTGACAGGTTGCCACTGGAGTCCTCTTCCACTCCTCCATGACGACATCATGGAGCTGGTTCATATTAGAGACCTTGTGCTCCTCCAGCTTCCATTTGAGGATACCCCACAGATGCTCAATAGGGTTTAGGTCTGGAGACATGCTTGGCCAGTCCATCACCTTTACCCTTAACTTCTTTAGAAAGGCAGTGATGGTTTTGGTGCTCCTCCTTGGGGGAGGTTGACTGGGGGGGCTGGGCCCCCATCTGTGGATGAGACCAGCCTCGGGTTTATGGGGCTCGGGGGCCGCTGGCTCTGCCTGCACTCTGGGGAGGGATGCCTCTGGCTGGGCTGGGGGACTATTGACCTGGTTCTCCCGCGCTGTCACTCCCTGGCAGCGGGGAGCTTCCCGGCACGGCTTTCTGCTGTTCTTCCTCAGGGCGGGGTGCAGCTTCCCCCGGGAGATGCGGTCTGGGGTCCTTTGCGCTTTGGGGGTTCGCGGGGTGCCCTGGCTACTAGGGGTGGGGGTCTCTGGGCGCTGCGAAGGTTGATCCGGTTGCGGTTTGGAGGGATCCGGTGGGATTGTGGGGCGATTGTCGATGCATCTTGATGCATTTAGTTTTTTTTCCCTTCCCTGTGCAGGGTCCCTTGATGGCTGCTGGGCGTTTAGTTTGTACATTGGAGTCGGGGGGGGGGGGGGGGCATTTCCTCGTTGGCTTGGAGGGACCAGTTTGCATCCCTGGTTTGCTTCGTTGGTCTCAGATCCATGCTTCCCCATTTCTCTGTCGGCCAGTTGTTGGACTCCTCTGGATACTGAAGTATAAAGTTTTTTTCGGGATGTGCAGTGTGGGTGCGGGGCAGGGCTGTGCTCCGGTTTATTCTGGGCTTGTGCCTGGAGTTCTCGGCCCTTGACGGGTGGGTGGGTTGGTGGTGGCATGCAGCTGAGCTAGTTGATTTTGCCTCGTTGCTGTTTGGCTGGTGTTGCATGGCGGCCTGGGCACATGCTGTGCATGGGGAATGTCGGCTGGCGCGGTTGGCCTTAGTTTTTCGGCGGTTGGGGGAACGGCGGACTTTTATTGGCGGGTGCACGGTGACCTGCGCGGTGCGTTTGCTGCCAGGACTTGCTGCTGGTGTTTCTCCCAATGCCTGCAGCCCCCCGCGAATCCCGCATGCGAGGTTGGGCAAACGGTTGGTGTGGCACAGTCGTGGCGCCCCACTCTCACTAACGACTACATTCTTTAACAGGCTTATGCGCACACACGTACACACACACACACACACACACACACATACATACACATTCACCCACACGCACTCAGACACACATAGTCTCACACATAGACACAAACAAATTTAGGTTGTCCCTGGTAGAATTATTCCTGATGCTTTTCTTTCAGCTACTTATTTAAATTAATTGTTATTATTCCAGCTCTCCTGGCTGTGCTGTGTTGCTTATTTATTGTGCATGACTGTTTCTTGTCTTCATTTTTCTCTTAGTTGTCTTACTATGTCAGCTGTTTATTGCTGCTGTTCGGCTGGTTGTCTTTTACTATTATTATTATTATTATTTTTATTGTTTGTTTGTTTGTATTTGTTTGTGTTTGTTTGTAGTTGTTTTTCTCCTCCCCAAGCCCCCCTCTCTGTTCTATTGCAGGTTTTGTTGCTTTCTGCAATTGGTGTTTCCCTCTGCTATTCCCTGTTGTCCCCACCTTCCATCCCCCTTCTCTTGCAGGTGTTGTCCTTTCTCTGTGCTGTCTGTTTGTTCCCCCCCATCCCCATGTCTGCCCCCCTGTCCAGCCCGGTGACAAATCAATACATAATTAAATAAATAATAAAACAGACAAAGGAGTATATTAATACTCTCTTGTTAAAGTCTGTCTAGCACAATATGGTATCCAGCTCATCATACTCTATACCAGGCTGCTGGGCAGGACAGGTTTAAAAAAAAAAGGAAAAAAAAGAAAGGCAGTGGTAATCTTGGAGGTGTGTTCGGGGTCGTTATCATGTTGGAATACTGCCCTGAGGTCCAGTCTCAGGGAGGGAGGGGATCATGCTCTGCTTCAGTATGTCACAGTACGCCACACACGCTTGACACCATCTGAACCAAATAAATTTATCTTGGTCACATGGTTCCAGTAATCCATGTCCTTTGTCGGTTTGTCTTCAGCAAACTGTTTGCGGGCTTTCTTGTTCATCATCTTTAGAAGAGGCTTTCTTCTGGGACGACAGCCATGCAGACCACTTTGATGCAGTGTGCATCGTATGGTCTGAGTACTGACAGGCTGACCCCCCACCCCTTCAACCTCTGCAGCAATGCTGGCAGCACCCATATGTCTATTTCTCAAAGACATACTTTGGATATAATGCTGAGCATGTGCACTCAACTTCTTTGGTCGACCATGGCAAGGCCTGTTATGAGTGGAAACTGTCCTGTTGAACCGCTGTATTGTCTTGGCCACCGTGCTGCAGCTCAGTTTCAGGGTCTTGGCAATCTTCTTATAGCCTAGACCATCTTTATGTAGAGCAACAATTCTTTTTTTCAGATCCTCCAAGAGTTTTTTGCCATGAGGTGCCTTCACATTCACACCTGAGTCCTAATGAGTCACATGACACCAGGGAGGGAAAATGGTGGCCCAATTTGGACATTTTCACTAAGGGTTGTACTCACTTTTGTTGCCAGCGGTTTAGACATTAATGGCTGTGTGATGTGTTATTTTGAGGGGACAGCAAATTTACAGTTTTACAAGCTGTACACTCACTACTTTACATTGTAGCAAAGTGTCATTTCTTCAGTGTTGTCACATGAAAAGATATAATCAAATATTTACAAAAAGGGGTGTACTCACTTTTGTGAGATACTGTAGGTGGGTTTTTAAAGCTCTTAGATTTGCCAAAAACAATGCTATGAGAGCGGTGACAGTGAACCAAAACAGTGAAGTTAAACAACAAGCTAAATCTAACTACAAAGCGCTGTAAAGCTGAACGGAGTTGCAGATTCAAGTGATAATTCTCTGTAGGTTGCTCACTATGAGTACCTCTCACATTGCACATAATTAACAATGTGTCAGATAAGTGCTCAGAAAAACAACTCGCCAAACTCCATCCATGAACATCATGTATTATGATTTAAAGCTCCAGAAGAGATGCTCCATGTGAGATTATTTTCTCAACTGCTTTTTCCAAGGTTAAGAATGGACTGTGACCAGCAACTATGTAGGTTCCTAGGAAAAAACAATACTAATTTAAGTTGAGCATGAACTCAAACTGACAAAGTGCCCAGATACTGTGCAACAACAAAAGAAAGAGTTGGCAAAATGTAAAATACAACAGCTCTCCTGCATTCAAGTTAATTTGGGTCAGGTGTGTAATGACTCCCTCCCAAGTGCTGATTCAGGGAGATGCACAACATTGGTAGATGTCTTACGCAGGTAGTAGATAGAATGAGACATGCATGGTTCAGTGATAAGAGCTGTAGTGGTAACGACCATGAAGTAACTGCAGCCCTCTCTGCATCACTTATTATGAATAAAATATGATGTGCGGTGTTAATAAGCCAAGTATTAGGACACTTCGTCAGTGTGCCAGGTAAGTAACAAGAGTCTATTACTACTCCTGAAGAATTGTTGTAGAAATGTTATTTTTATGACTGGTGGAAAGAACATTTAGTCAGGAGCTTTAATAGTTTCGCAGTACCACAGATTCAGTAAGTGAGGTACACATACAGTAGCTTTACATGCTTATACAGTTGCATTTTTACATACAAGTAATGTGATGAATAAAGAATGATCCCAGCAAAGCAGATATTTCTCATAAAGTATTGCTACCCATCATTCACTATTCCAATTAAGCCAGAGCAGCCATTAATGGTAACACTGGTGACTTACAACAGGCTGGAATAGAACCACATGTGACCACAATAATTTCCCTTCACCTTACAGAAGACTGACAGCAATTAGTTATATAAAGCAGCCTTTAAATTAAATGTACAGGAACTAAACTGTTAAAATAAACATCCTTCAGTTAGTGATATCATTAAGAAAGCACATTTTTCACAAAAAACATCTAAAATAAAATTATTTCATGTCGTCTTTTCTTTATAAGAATATACACAATGTTCAAGGCAGCTTATTAGTCCACATTACATAAAAACCTCAAGGACACTGTGATCTAAACATCCTTATCCAGAATCACAGCAAAGGGCATTTTCTGTCATTGCTCTATAGGCACATCCTTCTCTCTCTCTGTTTCATCAAAGGAGAGTATCGAGAAGCGTCCGTACTGTACTCAAATTTTGGCTTTGGTCTCTTTGTACTTCTGAGCTGAGCATTCATTATGCATAAGCAACAAGAAGGCTGCTAATGAAGATTTTATAATTGATAAAAAACTGCTACATCAGCATATGCATAGAACTACCATGAGGCCACAGTTAGAGGGGGAACATGAAATGAAACAGGGAAAAAAAGCTGTACATATTGTCCAAGAAGGACTAACACAAAACTATATATTATTTTTATTGGTCTGAATATGTATACATTTCCATGTGAATGTTCCAGAAGTTCAAGTGTACCTGCTAAATATGTAGCAAAATGTCAAATAACTCTGTGATGGCTGCCTCAGCTACATAGTGAAGTCAACTTTCTAACAAAATCAAGTTTGTAATTAAAAACAAACAGGCCTTATTTTGTGTGACAAAAAGTTTTAATTGCTAATTTGTCCTCTTTGATTGCAAGTCAAAAAGTTTTCCTTGCCAGTCAGAAAGTTTCGCAAGTTAAATAGTTATAACCTAATATCTCGAAGTAATCTAGCAATCATTTCAATTGAAATGAGAGTCATAATGTCAACTTACCTCCATCTAGCCTGTACACATAACAACTCTGTCTCTCCAGTAGAGCGGAGTGCAGGTTGGAGCGAGCAAGGGGATTGAGGTTGTGGCCATGCAGTCAATGCAAACCCATGATTGGTCAGTCAAACCCACCAATAGAATCTCTTATTTCGAGCATTTTTTACTCTTTTCAACTTTTCGACTTGCAAAACTCTCTCACATTTGCAAAACGGTTTAACCTGCGAAACTTTCTGACTGGCAAGGGAAAACTTTCTGACTTGCAATAAAAGAGGACAAATTAGCAATTAAAACTTTTTGTGACACAAAAAAGGCCTGTTTGTTTTTAATAACAAACTTGATTTTTGATTGCAGTGAGATAAATATGCTCTCAAAAAATGTTTTTGCTTAAAAAGACACAAATATACCTTCATAAGAAACAAGGATGATTTGTTGGTTTGTAATTAAGAACTACAAAACTAGAGGTATGCACTGGCGTGTATCTATTTAGATACATGTGCTTATTATCAGAGTTTTTTGGCTTTGTGAGTAACCTTATGTATTATGTGTATTTGTTGACCTGGGTGGTGGGCTGCTGCATACAGTTGCACTTGCAGGAAGAATGTTATTTTGAATTGAAATGAATGGAATTAAGGAATCCAGGTACACAAACTTTATATATTTTGGTTGTAATGACAATACAGGACTTATGTAACTCTATCCTCACCAAAACCTTGTCATTTTTCGCAATCATTTTCAACTAATGAAATCACTGAGATCTGTTTTGTAGTGATCAAGATATCTCTTGATAAACAGGCAGGCAGATAAACAAACAGAGCTGAACGCATAACCTGCATGGCAGAGGTAAGGACTTTGAAGATCAAAAATAAATATGAATGACTAATTGTCTGGCTCTGAAAGGCTCTTGAACTACGAAAATCTGCATAATAGATGTTCCACCAAAGATGCATTCCTTTCCTACATTCCTAGAAATCAGTGAAAGGACAAGGAGAGATATATACACAGTTAAAATCAGTTAGACACAAATTCAAAGGCACCAAAATACCACATGTCGAAATTTTGTAGCAAAACAAACTCTTAATTCCGATGACTCTATCCTCTACTGACACATACTGCAAGAGATGTTGTCAACAGCAGCACCACCACATTATGCAACAAAAAGGACAACCCTGATTAATTCTGTTCATTTGTATGTCAATCATACAACAAGATCAAGTTTCCATCTCAGTGCTTCAATGCATGTCAACCACCTGTGAAAGCCATATGATTTGATATTATACCACATTTTCAGGGGAGCTGTGCATTATTAAAGTTATGAACAAGAATGTGGAATAAATGAGAGACTGAGGTAGAATTGGTCATTACTTCTTTGTCTTCATCCCCTCCTGATTTTAACTTGAGATTACACTAAACTCACACTCATGGAGAGTGTCATGTAAAAGTCTGTGCCACCTCTACTGAAGAAGCATGTTAACACGCATACATGAATGTTTTTGTGTTCTGGTTGAGTGCTTACATGGAAGCTTCTTCTCAGTTATTTTAATGTGTGACAAAGGCTTCATGTGGCTCTTCTGCTATTAATGGCAAGTCTGCAGAATAATATCTCAAATGGTTTGTGTCATAATTATTATGTGGGATGATTTGATAAAAAATATTTTACTGTAGTGTCAAACTGTTATCATGAAATATTCAATTTTATATCATCTGCAGAGGACTTTTAAAAATAAGTGTTGCTGGCTGCTTAAATACAAAACAAAATCTGTAATTATTAAACAACAATGATTATACATACATTTCCACATGGACACTGCTGCTTTATTCAAGGAATATTGCGTATGCTTCACTGTAGGGACTTCAGGCTGTATGTTTGATAATCAAATTTCCTCACCTCAGACCTGTAGCCATAACAATAAAGCTGTGCTGTTGTTGTTTTTTTAATCTCAGTGACAGATGATCTGACTGCACCAGGATGGAAACTGATGGTGAGATATTGCAAAGAGAATCTGAATAAGCTCATTCTCATTTCAGTGGAAAGCAACATCAAATACTTCTCTGATGCTGACCTATAACTTTTTACTACACATGCAAGACACTTCTCAATACTTGATTTACTCAGTCGTTGCTCCATGCAAGTACCATTTGAAAATCAGCTCCTATTTTTGTCACCCAGTGTCACATTGAATACATCTACCTGAGTTACTTCAGACCAAACAGTTACCTAACGAACATGTAACAATCAGAAATCCTCATAATCAGCTCACCTCAGTGCCTGAGAGGAAAACAACCTACTCAACAAGCCATATTGACTCAGCAGCCAAGGTAATGCCATGATGCTTTCCACAGAGCAACATAAGAGGACAGAACTTAGAAGTATGTTTCCCCAAAAAGCCCCCTGAAGAGAACAGACAGGCCTGCTCCACTTCTCCCCTGACTGACAGCACACTCCAGAGGAGCCACGCTGCAGGACACGCACACTGATCCAGTCTGACACGCCTGACCTTTCCTGGGCTGCATGGCTGGCTCACCGCGCACCGCGCCCTGCCCGGCTGAAAAGGCCACGCAATGCCATGTAGGCAGTGCCATCGCTGCCCACCACGGCACCCTCTTACTGCCATCTCAAGAGCTGGCAAGGTGAATGCACTGCGGAAAGACAGCCACTCAATCTGAGAGGCTCTCAACTGCAAAACAAGGGTATGCCATCTGAATTTGGCAGTGATACATGTCCGATTAGTATTCCCTGTTGCACCCTTAGGTGGAGTAAAGATTTTTCAAACAAGTGGATAATTGTATCTTTATTGTCCAAAGGTTTTTTTTTACTTTGAACTTATGCCATTTAAGATGTTTTAATTAAGGCATTGCTCATACACAAAATGATTATGAAAATGAAATTTGCATAATACTATTAGTCATCTCACTTCATAAATGTACTGTGTGCAGGGGCTGGTTGGCGAGGGGGTCTAACACTGTGTGTCTGCCAACAGTCTCGGTCGAGGCAGAATTATCTCAGAATAGATACCGCAGGAGCCCACTAAAGAACAAGGGATGAGAGGACTCTAAGTGTAGAATAGATGCTGCAGCTGTGAAATGAAGAGCTGTCGCATCCAGTGAGCTCTTTCCTGAGTAAAGGAAACACTTTGCACAGCAGAAATAAATCATGTGCTCATGTTCTTCAGTGTAAGATTGTATTTTTTTAAACAGAGGAGGAAATTCTCAGCAGTTCAAAAATTCAGCTTGTGTGAGAAGACATTTGGTCATTGCTTTTCCTATCCGATGTGTACACAGGGAAGTATCTTGGAGGACATTTAATTGGATAATAGACTTTTAACATGCTACTTTAATGAATAACCTAAACTGTAATGCAATTTTAAGAATCATTGACTCCAGAAACACTAACAGTATTGGAAAATACACACATCCACACTGAGTGTAAACGCACACACGCACATTCCTCATGCACTGGCTACTTCATTACAATGCGCCCCCTTTAGTAATTGTACTGCATCTCTATCACATTAGTACAAGCAACTGCAAATGTCTTTCTACTGCAATTACAACAGAAATTACTGTAGAGAGAATGCCTTTCAAATGAACTGGTTCTACTTTTCTTTTCCTCTCAGATAACTTTTGTACATCTACCAAACCAAACATCTCGGGATTATTTGAACACAGTCCTAAGATAAAATGGTACAAATGTAGAGACAGTAGTGCTCTGGTTCTGTAAGCCAACATGAACACTTCAAAAGGGTGCAGGGGACCAAGGATGCAGGGAGTGTGTAGACCTACTGGTGTATGGGTCAGATTAAGTACCATACAACCCAACTTTGGACAATTTATTCAAACAGAGATGGATACCGTCACAAGGATGAAAATTCAGCAAAGAAAATCAGTCACTAACCCTTTAACCCTCAATGTGTGCGCTTTCATAAACTCCATAAACGTCAATTTTCAATAGGCGCAACTGGAGCTTTGATCTGGTGACAGAAATCACTGCAGGGCAGTAGAACATTTGGACCGCAGGTTCACCAACAATTCACTTCTGCTGCGAAAGAGGAGTTGTGTAAATGGTTCAGTACAACTGGTTAATGGAACAGAGCGGGAGAGTAACAGCACCGGCACAGCTGTGCAGGAGCATGTTCGTTGTGAAGGGCTGATGTGAACACAAAGGACAAACTCTGACAAATTACAGTATGAAGGTCAAGGAAGGAAGTATGTTAAATGTTGTTACAGCGTTTTGTGCTACAATGTCTCCAGTCTCACATACACCTTACACACCCACCTACCACAAATGTAAGCTAACTGATTGCTGGGTGACTGGTTGTAATTATATTTCTTTTTACAATCAGTGTCATTTGGTTTTCTTGTGGAAGCTTGCAGTAAATGACTAATCTGTCACTATGCACTGATGACAGAGAATTGGAGCTCTATGGCTCCTGGCTTCCTGAATAAACTTCTATAACTGAGTGCCCACCCCATCCATCCTTACACTCACTTTACTGTTCAAGACATTAAGCAATGCAAATTTACATCAGGAGAAAATTAAACGTTACTGGTTAATTCATCATTGGGGCTGCAGTGAATCTGGGGCCACAAAGCATGTAGCAAGTGTCTTGCATGCCTGTTTTGTACACACTTGCTCTGTGGCCCCGTACACACGCGCGCGCGCGCGCACACACACACACACACACACACACACACACACACTGGGAATATACCTTTTATTCCTCTGGGCATCCTTCTTATCCATAATGACAGGTACACAGTTCGTTAGCTCGGTCCAGTCTGCATGTAGTCCGCAGCTCCATCCAGTAGAGAAGCGGGAGAAAAGCCAGGACTCTGCTTTCCCTGGTCGGTGGCATGTGCATTTCTTCTGTCCTGGCTTGCAGTCGCACGGCTGCTCCAAGCGAATATTCCTCACCAAGTGTCTCCCGAAAGTGGTTCCTCCGGTCTTCTGGATGTGCAAAAACGCTATCACGTCGTCCCCTTTGATGTTGAACTCCACGTGTCTGTCAAGGTCTCTTTCGGTGAAGTTGAATTTGGACGGTAGTTTAGGAGGGCTGTCATCCTCCAGGTCTTGATCTCGGTCGAAATCATCGCTGTCCTGATACGGGGTGGAAAGTAGGCTTACCCCCCTTAATTTCTCCCCAGCCTTAAAGTGGCACGAATTGCTGCCAGCGGGGCATATGTACTGGTAACCTATCATAACAAAAAGGACAGCTAAAATAGGAACCAAGATGAGCTTACTGGGTCTATCATCCATCATATCAAGGTAGTGTCTTCATTCCATTTAAAAAGTAGCACCCATGGGTTCTTCAGGGATCAATATTCTTCCATGCCTTAGACAGCATACACTAAAGGTACCTATTATTTAAGTGCCACATGTTGATCAGATAACAACCTCCGAGGACACATAATTTGGACAAAAGGAGAAGTCCACCTTTGTTTTGCAAAATGCTGCACGCCGTCTGCACTTGTCCAAATCCAAGAGTCATGGCATTCAGATTTTTGTCTGTCCAACTTCTAAAGCCGGTGCACAGCCGCATCCGCGCCGACGACTCCCATGCATGCCCCGGAATCAAGTTGAAGATGAGGCAGCTGAGGAGAGTTTTTACTTTTACCCCTTCTCTATAGGCTCTTTTTTTTTTTTTTTTTTGCCTCCGTGCTGATCCCAGTCTAAATCGCAGCCTGTTTCATTTCGGCGAAAGACTTCAGCAGAAATGTGTCACGGCTCGGGCTGCTGGGCTGATCCTCCGGCAGCATCCTCCAGCATCCTCGGCGGGCTGAGGCGGTCTGACTGAAGCAGTGCTTTCTGAGAGGATGCTGCTGCATCCGAGCAGACAAATATGCGTTATGCTCTCGTCGTGGTTGGGCTGAGAGAGCTCTAGCCCACATCCCATCCCGTACATCCCATAATCTTGTTGAACACAGTACAAAGCCAGAAGCCCACACGGAAACTGAGACAATATGTAGCTTTAACCACACATAGCCTAAACCTATCAAATCCCCTGTAACTTTTTTGAATTCATCTGAGTGTGACCTTTGGTGATTAAAGAGATAGCACTATCCCTCTGCTTAGGTTATAGTCTTTTTAAATAGCCCAATTTAATGTTTAATATCTGTTGAAAGGACAGTAGTGGGAGAACCAATTAAAAGTGAAACAGCTGCATTATTTGCAGAAATAATGGTCATAGTCTATTGGAACCATTTACAGAAGAAAGTTTAGTTGTATGTGTGTGATGAAATAATTTCAGTTTAATTCAGATACAGCAAATTCTATCAATCTATCTATCTATCTATCTATCTATCTATTTATCATAATTTTTTCTTGTGTTCTTCTCTCATTACAGCTCATTTTATCATAGACTTATAGCCTAATTAAGCAGTGCTACCAATACTTTTTATGAGTTCAGTTGTTTTTTAATTAATTGATCTGTCATTTAATGCTGCCAGTGGCCAGCTGCCAAAATACCCAAAACATCAATGCTAATAGCCTATTTTAAATGAAACTGTAAAGTGACTGGTTAAACCCTTCTCCACCTGTTTTATTTGCGAGGATCAGTTTACTGGAAGCACAACTCAGCCTGTGAAAACAGTTGTATAATGTCTTCTGTGGCTCTGGAGGAAGCTTTCCAAAGTCTGCGAACATTACTCTGTGATGCCATCACTATTATCTTTGCTTGGGATGGGGAACGTCACATTTTGTAAAGCCTGCCTCGCAAGCTGGGCACATGGAGTTCCAAAGAAGTGAGCTTTTCCCAGGAAGGGAGGATCTAATGAAAGTGTAATTGCCTAATTTTTTTTTACTCATACAAATTATAAATCAGGATATCTCAGCCTCTCCTGCACTGATTTACCATTCTTACAGTATAGGACTCCAGTGGAAACACTGAGAGTACCCAATCCATCAGTCACTGCTCATTTTACTGTTCAATATAGGCTGCAGTATAGCAATGCAAATTTAGGCCTACACCAGGACAAAACTAAAGTTACATTTTTTATTTATCACAGGGCACCAGACACTCACAATTAGGCTATTACTCCTCTGGGCCCCCATCTTATCTTTAATGACAGTCACACAGTTTGTTAGATCGGTCCAGTCTGCATGAGTTTTTCCACCCATAGGATTATAAATCAGAATATCTCAGCCTCATCTACTTAATACACCAACTTTTTGAACACCTGATACAAAATTGCTGGACTACCCCCTAAATATTCAAAGTAGGCCTATTGGAGTAATTTTGTATTTTCAAAATACTTTCTTCATAATTCATAAAACACAAAAAAACCCAGACCCGGTCAAAACGTAGCCTGTATAATGGCTGGACTGAATATGAAACCGTGCAACAAGTATGAACTGATCAAGCCTTTTTACTCTAATTTAACACAATTCTCCCTTCTTCAGCTCCGTTTGAGACTGTCCTCATTTGCAGGAATAATACTCCATCTGTACATGAGTCGGTTAACAACAGAAATATTTGAAAAGTTTATTGTTCTTAAAGGCAATTAAATAGGCTCCTAACTGTAGTGGGTGGGTCTCAACCATAGACTGTATATAAAAACAGAGACGTTTTATAAGTCTAAAAGGAGGTGGTCTCAACCATAGGTCTCAACAGACATGTCTTTGAAATGGCAGAGAACACGTTTTAACATTCCCTACTGTACAAGAGTATTTTCTATATTGTTGTTGTTGTTTTTACAGTTTTGCTTAGATACAGTAGCATTCAACTTTGTGTTCTTCCTTCCAGCAGGGTTTAAACTCTCAACAGCCTTGTGTAACTTAAATTAGAATGTCCAATGTTTCCTGTATTTTGAAAATACAAAATACATGTAGGCCTATTATTCTAAAGCACACCAGTATTTTGTCTCATTTTAAATTCTTTAATCTGATGGGTAGGCTACTTTGTATTTTTAACAATATACATTTTACTGTAGTAGCCTACTTCTGCCCAGCTCTGTACACTCACTCACAGTGTTGGTCCAACATCATGCGCCAGTGTGGAGTGGAAGTGTTTGAGCTCCAGCGTCTCTTTAGCTGTCTACCGCTGTGCCAGAATAAATTCCAACTTTATCATCCGATTTATAAAAACTTTACACTCGCTGTCCCTAATTGTGTCCATGTAAACACGGTGAGAAGTTGTCCTTAAAATAATTATACGCCATCCCTAATTTTTCATATAACGGTTGTTCATAAACGAATACCGGTCAGCAGGAGCCACCACAATACGCGGCACCCCGGCAACTTGCTAACGTTAGCTGTACGGGTTGTTAGCTGCCCAAAATACCTACCTGAAGCCCTTTGCTTTGTATGGAAGCGGTCAGCATCTCTAACGGGGTGAGGGGTAATAATTTGCAACACCGTAACCGTTGGTTATGTATGTTTCTGCATACCTGTTTCATCTGTTATATGTTTGCAGCAAGAGATCTTTGTAACGTTAGACCTTATTCCCTAAATGACGCTAGTGAACCGTTTTCATTCACGGCAGGGCACTTTACTTCTGTGCTACAGCTAAGTAAACTTCGGTCTGACCCCTCTGAACCTTCGGTATTTTATAAGTCGGTCTAGCTAATGTCGTGCTTTTCTCGTGTAGCTAGCATCGTCTGCATTGGTGTACTGTGAGTGTTTTGTAGACGTGTGCACCGGTGTTGTGGTTTAGACAACTTAACGTTAGAGTAACGTTTCTACGTGGCACTGACTGGCACATCTCAAAAGGCAAAGGAACCGTGCTGACGGCGTTGGTGTTTGCTTTCTGCCACTGTAGGTTCATGTTACGTCGCTTTGGATATAATGAGGAACGTCATTGTGCTGTCACTGCTGCTGTTGAACATACATCATGTCATATCAGCACCCAAAGATGTCACTGCCAGTCTAAAAGCAAAGTGGAGCATGACGCCTTTCCTCCTGGAGACAAGGTACTCATCCCTGGACGTGTAACGTTTTATGTGGTACAAAAACAGGGATATACAAAAATGCACCTTATAAGTTACACCCTCAAAAAATGAACTCACCACTGAACAGGATTAAATTTATTCACCATATTTTGTTTGTTGGGTTAATTGCTAAGTTATATTTTGTTTAAATTTAATTTCCCAGCATGTTGGTGAAATGGTTTTTCAGCGTCTTCTGCACACTGCCAGTACTAAAAAACCCCATCATGTATAGGATTTAAATCGTAGAATATTAACTCCTCCCAGGATATTCAAACATCTCCACTAAAAATGCAGAGATCATGACCTAATTGTCCTTGACAGAAGCTATGGCCCTGGAAATAAACACAAATGATTCAGATTGTTTGAATACATTTTTTTTTCTTGTTTGTTGCTTCTGGCTGGGAACATCTTAAGATTGTAATTCCCTAAAGTTGTGTATCGAGGGAAAAATAATTCTTAAATTGACTCTCATTAGTCAAAAAAACGTTCCATCCTAAAAGACAACAATTCTGTAAATAAGATCATAGCTTTAGTATTAATACGTAATGGTCTTAAATAGCAGGAAGCTATAAATAGCATGGAAGTTCTTTTGTTGTTGTTAAAACTGTTAACAATTTGCTGTGTATAAAGTTCTCTTTTTATCTCTTTTATTCTACAAACTTTTGATTATGAACATATGATTTGTTGTGTTTCTTGTGTAGGTGTCAAAATATTCTGATTGTAATCAAAACCTATTTCATGGCTGTAAGTTCTATGTAATGCTCTGTGATACCTAATAAAGGACATTGTCAAACCACAACTGGAGACAAGTTGGGCACAATTATTACCTGAAAATATAAAATGATTATGTGGTCTGTAGTGCTAATCGTTGGGCAATCAGAAAATGGTTACTTAGGGACATACTGTGGTAACTGACTAATGCTGACTAATACTTCCATTTTCTTTTGTGTAGTGAGTTTATTGGAGAAGATGGGAATGAGAAATTCTGGCAGTTTGTTGACACTGTGAAAGAGCTCACTGTATACAAGCAAGGAGGTATGTTGTTTGAAACCAAGCACTTGCTTAGATTGTAGAGGTGCAACTTCTGTATTAAACAGATTTTATATAATTTTGAACCACGACAGATATGCTTCTCTTCTAAAAAGTCTCATTGTTCCTAATGTTGATGTGTCTTGCAGAGTCTGTGCGCTCGTACTACAACTTGATCGTTAAGAAGGCCGGCCAGTTTCTCACAGATCTTCAAGTTAATCTCCTCAAATTTGCTCTGGCTCTACGGTCATACTCACCAGCTGTTCATGCGTCCCAGCAGGTATGTTGTGATTAAAACAGAATGAATTTAACTATTAGAAAACTTTCTCTAAAGCAGCCTGAGAAAACAAGAGAGCCAGCTCAATTTCTTGTCAGAGGCGGTTACCCCAGTTTTGACCCAGGGTGCCATGCAGACCTTACATACAGTTTTTCTCAACTGTTTGGGCACAACTGTATGAAATACTCCACATCGATAACTAATTTTCTCGCAACAGTACTTGTATATCTCTGCGGTTTCTCACAGAATTCAAATGTGTAGGGTTGATTATCTGTTATTGATCCAGTGGCAAACAGAGTTGGCGCTGGTGATCAAAATCCTTTTTGTGTTACTCTCAGATGCAGTGTCAGCATTATCATTGCGCACAATGTTCCATATTCAGTCTAACCTTCCAGACAGTAAATTTACAGTCTGGCCTTGTCTTAATGCCAAAGGGATTAAAAACAAATCAATCTATAGATCCAGTCAATTCATTATGACATTTAGTTCAGCCTATCACATGTTGTCAAAACTACAGTAGCTTGTAGGTGCAATTCATGGAGTGTCATTTCTTAAAACACTATTATACTACAAGGGAGTGTTGGTACCACAATTCCTGAATATGAAACGGGCAGATATCAGAGAAAGGCATGCCAGATTCATGATGGTTTGGTAAGGGAAATGTGGACACAGAGAACATGGAAGCAAGACCTGCAGTGGATGATGCTCTATGTGAGCACATTACAGCAGAGTCCAAAAGATTATCCCACCATCAACAAAATTTGTGGGATAGCTGCACAGCTGTGGCACGATAGAGAGGAGAGTTTAGATGGACGGTGCGGTTGCAGGGTGACCACTGCAATGGTTCCTTATTTATGTAAATTTGATATAACACAAGTTTTAAATGGATGCTTCTCAGTCGGCTGTAGACTTTGACTTTAAAACTGGGTAAGTCTTATGCAATTTCAGTGCACTCAAGTCCTCTCAACCTTTACATTGTTGTGGTCTCAGCAATGATGAGAAATTTCATTTTGCAGTGGTTGATGAATTCTATCTAATCTCTAATTTTAAAATGTGTTGATTGTTGTGTGATGGCCTTTTGCCGGTGAAATGAAGTATTGTGCCCCACAGTGTGATCGCTGGAAAATATTGAGAATGAACCAATCACGTAATTGATTTAACTATGATTAACTTTGGCCTACGATTAAGAGTGAGAAGTGATGCTGTAATTACAGACTTACCATTTGATATTTTTCTTTTAGTCCAAAATGACATGCCATTTGATGTGAGTATCTCTTGTGGAGACAAATCACCAGATCCTCAGTGTTAGTGTCATATTATAGCCAGTGTGTTATAGAACATTATTCTCCTTCCTGCTCTTAACAGATAGCCAGTGATGAGCCTCCGCCTGAGGCTTGCCCTGCCTTTGTCTCCGTCCATGGTCAACATAGCTGCAGTACCAAGGACATCAAAAAGCTCCTGAAGGCAGCTGCAGGCAGGTAACATGGAATGGCTCTGTCTTCCCCTCTGTGGATAAACTCAATCCATGAGCAGAAGATGAAAAGTTTTCAGTTATTTTGTTATTAAAATGTTATTCTTTGATGCTTGCACTGACTTCATTTTGCCTGTGATGAAAATAGAAATGTTGTTGATACAAATGGTCATTCTTTAACAATTTTTCCCAAATGTTTGCAGGCCAAAACCATATTTATACAAGAATGATCATACATATCCAGGAGTCAATAAAACAGATGTGCCAGTTGTTATCCTCTACGCTGAGATTGGAACCAAGAAGTTCACCTCTTTTCATAAGGTGCTATCAGAGAAGGCTAAAGAGGGCACACTTCTATATGTGCTGCGGCATTTTGTAGTGGTGAGTAGCAATGCTTTTGCAGCCATTTTAATATATTATATAGATTTTAATAAATAATGTGGTTTGCTGTCCTTCTCAGTGAATACGTTGTCAAGTAATCTGACTTATTTACTGCACAGAAGAGACATTGTCCCACTGCCAAATATTGCCTGTGCAGCCAAAACAGCTAAAATGGCTTATTCATCCTTGCCTCATACCTGCATTGTGTCATATTTAGTGAGATGGTGGCACTATTGTGACATATTATTCCTTTCACTGACAAAAGCAGGGATCGTCAAAATGATGGACTGAACAGATTGCATTTACTGACCAGTGTTCAAGAGCAAAAATTAACAGATTCACTCAAATCGAACTGAAAACTCAAATACTAATTTGGATAAAGATACCTTTGATGCCTTTAAGACGTGTGTTGAAGAAAAGCAGAGTGTGGGTGTGAAAGTCTTCTGATTGTGACTGAGACTGAGGCAGTGCTTTGATGCTGGGTGACATTAGTTTCGAGGTGTCAGTGTATCTGCATGTGGCCATCCATGTGCTTCATATTCCCACTGGTAAAGCATGTTTGAGATGATAACTTTCACCGACTGTGTAGTTTTATGTTATACATCAGACACAGTTGGGCATATAATAACTTACATGGCCAGAAGAATGTGGAGCGAATGTGAAGACTGTGCTTCACAGTAATAGCGTACTGGGGCAAATCTAGCAGATCAGAGATCTGATGAACTACATTACAGTAACCAACTAATTAGAATGGGTGTCAATGTAATTGTGGTCATATACAGGGTTCCCGCGGCTTAAAATAAAATAGAGATAAAAATAGAATATATATATATATATAAAATAGAGATATTAAGGTCTTAAATTGTCTTAAATTTACCGTAAACTTGCTGCAGGTATTAAATTTGCCGATGGTGCGTTTAAGGCTGGTGGCAAAATTGTAACGCACAGTTGCCAAAGACGCCTAATTAGCGCGTATGTGTATGATCGCCATTAATATTACTCATATGTTACATTCACATTAGCTGCAGACATCTCGCTGCGTATTTCATTATTGTCAGTCGTGGCTGAAAGACTGGGAGACACAAGTTCAAGTGGTTGGAGGATCCGATCATTCTGTCTAGCTCAAACAGGGCCTACATCACATCCTCCTTTCATTTGCGCAGGTCCAAAAACTTATCTATAACTACAGGTTAAAATAGCTAAAGTTTGTCTTTCACCGTTATTAGTTTTCCTCCATGGATTATCCATGTTTACCTCTCTCTTCAGCGGTATTAGCCCGGCCAGAAAGTGAAAGTGAAAGTTTTGCTAGCTTCCTTTATAATGTGCAAGCTACTCGTTTCTGTTGTTTCAGTAGTTTATATTGAGTTTAACACAGCAGTGCATGAGTTAGTAACTTAATCATAAATGTCAAATTTAAAGGCTGATTTTTGCTTCTGAGGTAATGTTGAAGAAACCAGATGGTTCATTGTGCTTTTAAACTTTTCTTTATGGTCAGAACATGACAAAACCTTGATGCCAAACAGTGGATCACTTTACAAACCTGAGGTAGAACATTCAAATGAAACATTGAAGAAAAATTAAGTAAAATCTTTTTTCAGCTCATTTTCCTCAACAAAATAAATATCTTACTAGAAAATAAAGTGCTAGTTCATTCATGATTCAAATTAATTAAATCAAATATTTACTGAACATTTTTTATATTGTATTTGAGGAAGACTGGATCACAATAATTATTATTATTTTATTGCCAAGCCCTAGTTCCCATTCATAAATGAACACAATCAGTTCACCAAAAACATGAGCATGATCAATTATCCGCACTATTTGAGCACAACATTGAATGGACACACTGTCTAGGCGTCTGTCTACGCTGTCAGCCTTGTATTTTATTTGGAGAAGACGGCGACTGGTACATATTTCCGCCCAAGTAGTTGTTGTATGTGGATAGACAACGCATTTGCAGTCATGTGGTCTTGGAGTCCCTGACCACCTCCAGAGGTTGTTTTGCTGATCGAATCACAATCTGTCCTTTAAGTGTCTTGGGTGCATTTACACATGTACTTTCATGTAGTCAAGTGCTACCCGATCACAATCTGATCACCCAAAATTCATTTTAATGCCATGCGTAAACAGCCTCTATGTTCCCCGATTCGGAATATGCAAAGTAATTCACCTGTTGTGAAAATAAAACTGCCAAAAATGGCATTGCCTCGTTCATTAAGCGCATCTCTTTTCTATCAAAGAAATTGTTTCAAAATTTTGGGGTCTTTAATTTATATTTGTTGAGGTCTTAAAAGGTCTTAAAAAGCATTAAATCTGACTTTAAATCCAAGCAAGTGCAAGAACCCTGTTATAGTGTAAGTACTAAGTAAAGGCAGAAAGCATTGGATGGATCTGCTGTCTTGATAATTATCACAGTACTTTTGGCAGTAATGTACATGAAGATAAAACTCTGCACTGTGTTAACGTTCACGCCATTACTCTGCCTCTAACTGCTTGCAGGATCCAAAGCCACGAAAGATGCTTTTGTCTGGGTATGGAGTGGAGTTGGCTATCAAAAGCACAGAATACAAAGCTGTGGATGACACCAAAGTAAAAGGTCAGTTGTTGACTTCTCAAACATTGTGTGCTGGATCTGGCTATATATCCAAGGCAATGAAACACAAATCTTTTACTTTATAGATTCAAAGACAGCTATGAAGGCTGAGGATGATAATATTGACGAAGTCCAAGGATTCCTTTTTGGACCATTGAAGTAAGTAGCTTAACTCTAACATATTAATTGCAATAATGATCTTTTTGATCTCTAGTAGTTTCTGCTGTTGCTGCTGGGTGTCCTGTCCTTGGTGTGAATTGATAAAGAGATAAAAGAAGTCCTCGCATTCTATTTTGTATTTTCCTCTTTTACCGCTCTTAAGGAAATCTCACCCTGAACTCCAGGAGCAACTTAGTGAGCTTCGCAAACATCTCCTGGAGAGCACAAATGACATGGTCCCTCTCAAAGTGTGGGAAATGCAAGGTATTGATTTTCTATTTCAGTTGTTAAATGATTACAAGAGAAAAAAAATCAATACATTTGGAATGTATATTTACTGCAATGTGGACTTTTGCATTAGCTTTTGAGTTACTGTATATTACGCCATTTGTGGCTGGATAGGCTTTTGTTTTGTACTCTTTGATTAACTGTTAAAACATTGTCATAACACTTTTATTGTAATGTCCTTTGATTGCCCTGCATGGATTTAATTTGTCTTGTCATACTGTGCAATTGTACATGTGTAAATGTTGATGATTTCATTATTTGATCTACATAGATCTTAGTTTCCAGGCAGCTGCCAGAATCATGTCCGTGCCAAAGTTTGACGCTTTGAAGCTCATGCGAGACCTCAGTCAGAACTTTCCAAGCAAAGCCAGGTAAGAAAAATCATCATGTTTTGTCTTTCCCGCTGTCTGGTTAACACATTTTTAGGACCCTTACTCTGTGTTACAATGTGTGAATTCAGGCACAACAATTGCTATTCACTTGAAATATATCTTTTTTAAAACCCATTTGTTTGAGCATTATCCACAGTAATGACACCTTCAACACAGAGATCTAATCAACTTTTTGATGTTTGCTTATTTGGCCTCGGGCACACTGTAATAACACCAAAAAGTGCTGAGTAAGAGTTGGGTGTTTACAGGGAATTGAATGAAAACGTACCATCTTGAGGGCCCACAGGTTTTTGGAGATTAAAACTGACATTTTACTGCCGGCTGGGGATGTGCTAAAAACTGATGGTGACTGTACATTGTGTTTTACTGTTCCCACAGATCACTGACAAGAGTGGCCGTAAAGCAGGAAATGAGAAAAGAAATTGAGGAGAACCAAAAGGTACGATCATAAGGAGCATTCCCAACCTGATAGTGCAGGTTTATTTTGATGCCATTGTACATGTTTTTAGTTTAGATAATGAATTTAAAATCTTTATCTGAAATAGATTCCATAACAACATGACATTTTATTCTTACCTTTCACCTAGTCTGTGTGCACACTTTATGTCTTCTGCTTACTGCTGTAGCTGTGCGCATCTTTTCTTGTCAAAAGATCAGACATTAAAGGCAGAACCGCTCATTTAGGGGTTTTGGCTTTGGACTAACACTTTGAGCTTGTTCTTTCAGCGTCTCAGTGAGACCATTGGTGTTCACCCAGGAGACGGGGAGCTCTTCATCAATGGACTGCATATTGATCTGGACATTCACAACCCTTTCAGGTAGGAACCCAGCGGGAGGGAGCAGTGGTCTGCTTGTGCTCTCCCCAGGAAGCCTCAGACCTATGCACTGGCTCAGTAATCCCGTTGCGGCAAGATCAGAGATTGTTGCAACACAAAGCCACTGCCACAGCTAATAAAACAAAGCTATGATTTTGTATTTACAGCATTTTGGACATCCTCAGAGGAGAGGCCAGGGTCTTGGAGGGGCTTCATAACTTAGGCATTAAAGGAGAACATCAGGGCAAGCTGCTAAGGTTACCCGTGAATGCTGTGGATGACAGCTATGCCTTAGATATCAGACATCCAGCTATAATGGTGAGTCCTGTCCAGAAGCATTATTCTTCTGGCTTAGATCAACACTGCAGGTGTTTTGTTTTTTCTTTGTGTACTCGCACCAGGGTGTGGATTAGTGGATCACTCATCAGGCTCTTGCGAAAGTCTCGAGCCTGCCAGAAACGTTGATTATTAATTGGGAGGTTAGCCAAGAAAAGCTATCAAATTAAAAACTTGCAAGTTTTCATTTTGGCCCCTCTGGCCATTTTAATATTCTAGGTGCTATAAAAATGCCAAAGAAATTAAGATTTTAAGCCTTTCCACATTCAACCAAGAGGTCTGTCATTTCAGCATGCATCTCGCCTTCTAGAGAGGGAGAGTATGCATGTGTGTCCGAGAGACACACAAGGATACAGAGAGAGTGAGAGTGTAAGAGAGATAATGATTGTGTGCTAGCGAGGCAAACGTTTGCACTGTGGGGAGGTTCTGCTGTAAGTTACGGAGAGGAAGACCACTGTTGGTGGTAGATTGGTGATGGATGATGGATAATTTTGCAGCTATGATTCTGGTCATTTATCATAAAAAGTCATATCTAATAGCTTTCTCTGGTGGTGGGTGGTAGAGCGTTATACCAAGTGTACATGTTAAATGTTGTATTCATCAGATCCAGCATATTTTTGTCCACATAGCAGTTCGGTTATGTGTCATGCAACAGCTTTTTTTCCCATGTTCTATGTGTAATTTCCTGTTTATTGAGTAGGTAGGTTACTCTCGTTAAAGCACATGCAAGTTCAATCTATGCACCTTTTACACCTTGTGATGTTATTATTCAGGTATAATGCAGTTAACAGGAAAGAGAGTGTAATGTCAAAAGTTACCTTATGTAACTGTGCGATATGTTGTTGCTCTTGAGAAATAACAGGATTTGCTTAACACCACACTGAATCATTAATGTCAAGTACAGGGTGTAGTTGCTGTTAGAAATTCAGTGATGGCCATATATTCAGTGAATCCAGCATTGGATACAATTCAGGCATCACTGAATATATAAAGCAAAAGCCAGTATTTTGATTTCTTTGACACGTGTCCATTGCAGAAATGTAGCCATAATGTAGAAAACACTACTCCACCACCACCACTTGTAATTGTGGTGGTGGTGGTGAGGTGCTCAGAGCTACCGATTCCAGGGTTGTTGTTCTGTTCCTTGTACTTAACTCATGAATATCATCATTTTCACACAAGCCCTATTCTTGTCATGCACTTTCCAGTGGATAAATGACATAGAGAATGACCCAGTGTACCGCAACTGGCCAGCGGGTGTACAGGAGCTCCTCAGGGCCACCTTTCCTGGAGTCATCCGGCAGATCCGACGCAATTTCTTCAACCTGGTGAGTCTCCTAAAGGCCAGAAATGCTGAGTGGGTAGTGGTGATGACGGGGATGGAATCGACAAAGGTCTTCATTGTAGTTATTAACTTCGACTTGCTCAACTGAACTCTATGAAACTCCTCTATGTCAGACTCTGCTAGCGTCAAATTGTGGGGTGTCTGCTATCATAACATTTCAGTCAGCGCAGTGAGACACACTCTCACAGAAGAGTACACTGAGTACATTTTGACTACTTAACATTGCCTCTGATTATCAGAATTGCCTGGGACTGGATGTATTGTTGTATCTGCTGAACTCTAAGTCATGTATGATTCAAGTCAGCCATGTATTATGATTCAGATTTGACGAGGATGCCTTTTGTTGTTAGGTGCTATTCCTAGATCCAGTACGGGAAGAAAGTGTTGAGCTAGTGAAACTAGCAGATCTTTTCTACAAGCATAAGATCCCCCTGAGGTTAGTGCTGTTATTTCTCACAGCTGTTTTATATGGTCCACTCTTGGAGTTTATAATCTTTACCAGGTAGTGATTCTCATTTCACCTGAAAATTGAATAATTGTTTTTGCCCCCTTCCTATAGAATTGGATTTGTGTTTGTTGTCAACACCAAAGATGAGATTGATGGCTTCTCAGATGCAGGAGTTGGATTTTACCGACTGCTGAATTACATTGCAGACGAGTACGATTTATCCCAGGCTCTCATGTCCATGCTCTCAGTAAGTATGTCACATATATAAATCTGTGTTGTTTCAGTGGGCATTTCTTGAAGATTAACCAAAGGACACTCCCCGCCAGCTCATACCTGTTTATACCTCTGGTATCAGCTATTTCAATAGAGTTGGAAATTATTGACAGTTGGAGGGATTGGAAGACAGTGATGGTCAAATCTGATCTGACTTGCCACTCTCTTGCAGTTGTACGGCCAAGTAGATGTAGGGGGGACGCTGTCTGTTGATACAATTTCTGCTTACCTGAAGAGAAAATTCCCTAAAGCCAACGCTGAAAGGATTCTAGGTGCAGAATCTGAGTATGATGACAAAAGAAAGGTAAGGACAAGAAATAGCTCTCTCTTGTTTCTTTCTGCTTTTTGGAAGTAAGAATAACTACTTACCAGGAGCATCCAAGGATTCAGTCCATGTTTTGTGTGCTCCAGGATGGTGCCGCCTTCTACAAAAAGAGTGGCTTGGGTGCCCTACCTTTGGCTTTATTCAACGGAGTCCCTCTGAGCCCAGATGAGATGGACCCAGATGAGCTGGAAACCATCATCCTGCAGCATATAATGGACACCACAACCTCCTTCCAGAGAGCTGTCTTTATGGTAGGACATGAAAGACACTCACTTCATATTCAACATACCGATCCTACCTCTGCTTTCTGCTAGAAGTAGAACTTCTTAGGCAGTATTTACTATTTGCTTAATATTAATATTAGATTGAGGTGAACGTTGATGTTCTTCGATAACTAAAGCACAGAAACATATGAAAAACATGATGCTAAATGATGTAAATGATCTCTGTCTGAAAAAAGATAAAAACAGAGCTAATACTGTGTGCTTAACATAATGTGGTAAACTGTGAAAAGCATATTAACTAACTGACCAATAGCCAGCTTCTTCTTTTTTTTTTGCTAGATAGCAGGGCATTTCAGTTTGCAGTTTTACAGCTTATAGCGTATAAATACTCCTCCCTGGCCCACATTGTTGCATTCACAGGCATGTTTACATTTAACTGCATGTTAGCTGTTCAGAAATAGGGCATACCCAAGATCCAGTATTTCTTTATAGATTGATGTCCTCAATGACATCACTCTCATCCATTCTGTCCTATGCCTACAGGGTCAGTTGACCGACAGTTCAGATGTGGTGGATTATCTAATGGAGCAGGCCAATGTGGTTCCCAGGATGAACCCTCTAATTCTGAGCACTGACCGACAGTACCTCGACTTCACTGCCACCCCAGGTGAACTGTGCTACTCATCTTGCATTATTGATTCACTGGCTCCATATACATATAATATTTATTTATTTACATTTATTTATTTTTTACTTTTTCTGTCTTGCTTTGCAGTTGTAGATGATTGGGAGGACACAACTATGTTTTCATACTTGGACTCTAGAGACAAAACAGCTGTGGTGGCTAAGAGAATGAAGTACTTTACAAATAGTGGTAAGAAGTCAAGTATTATTTTATGCCTAATTAAAACAGTTTCAGCAATTTCCGATGAATACGCACCATTTCATTTTCAGCAACACAGTGACTTGCAACAATATCAGTCACTTATTCAAGCATCTGAAATTGTATCTGGATCTAAAACAGAACAACCATTCTGCATTTACTTGTTGAAAATCTATTAAAAAAAGAGGAGTATCTAAACAAAAATGAATCCTACACTGCTTTACTGATCTATGAAAGTGTGAAATTGACCTTTGTAGAACAGACAGGCTGCGCCTCCAGCAAGATAATTGCTGGGTCTGCTGACTGGCTTCCAGCCAACAGTCTAAATGGTCGTCAGAGCTGCATTTCACTGCTCGGGCCTGGAGTGTAGCTGTCTCGCTGTGGCTGAGGAGGCTGATTGCCATCCTCCCTTTGTGGACCGGCTGACCGGATGACTTCCTGCTTTTCTGACTGACTGACTGACTGACTGACTGACTTGGGGGCATATAACTATGACAGGTGGCACAGTTCTCCACTGATATACTGAGCTCTCTGCCAGATGCCTCAGTCGCTCTCACTTTTCACAAGCCGAACATTCACTGTAACGCCGGTACCTAATTTTCCTTCTCACTTCTCAACTGATTGTCAGTGTATAAGCATAAGCCAACCTATTTAAAGGATTAGCAGCTCTTGCAAAAATGCCACATAAGGATTAAGGTTGACGCTGAGATTGAAAAAAAACTGCTCAAACATACATTTGCCCTCCACTTGTACTTTAATTATATATCCGTTTATCATACAAACGAAAGGAAACCGCAGCAGATGGCAGGTTGGACTAGTTTGAATTGTCATGTGATATGTACCATGTGTATTTAGAGTGCAGTAGATTTATTGTTTTTGTTTTTTTACCTTAGATGAGGATGGGATGAGTGCTGTGACCATGTGGATAGCCGGAGATTTTGAGAAGGTCTCAGGAAGAAAACTATTGCTGAATGCTCTGAAACATCTGGTGAGTATCCTTTACTGTCTGTTCTGTTCACTTCTATGCATTAAAAACATAAATATTCATCTTACTGAAGTGAAATTGAATGAATGAATCCCAATACCAGTGCCAAAAAAAAATAAAAATAAAATATATAGTCTTTACAATATACCACAAGCCTTAAATTCTTAGAAGGAATGAATGTTGACTCAATCAGTAACATTTTTCACATTTCACAAATCTTGCAGCTACAGCTACAAAACGCACCCGCTGTAAATCTGTACCTCACATACAAGTGGAAGAGATGACGTACATTGAGATACTTTTCATTGGCATGACCCAAAAGAAAGCAAATTTACACTGAAAATTTATTTTCTGCGTGTGTGTGCTAACAAAAATCATAAATACAAGCAAACAGACATTTTGTATTTGTCATAAAAAAATTCCATGCTGGTAGAAAAAGCAGAATAGGAGAAACCTTTACTGTTGCTTTTAAGCAATCAACACTCTTTCCTCCTAGTGCTCTCCCTCAGTGACACCTGTGGTCTGTGGAAGTATGAGAATGTGTCATTGTTGTGTGAATTTATATCACTGCTCAGTTTATATATGTGTGTCTGTGTCTGTGTCTGTGCACGCAAGCAGAAGTCCAGCCGCGGAGTTCGTGTAGGGGTGATAGATAACCCCAGCGGAAAGCCCAGCGGAGTTAACACTGTGCTGTATAGGGCAATCTGGGCCTCTCTCCTCACCCAGAAATATAAGGCTGCAGCAGAGTTTGCGCATAAACTCCTGAAAGAGGAGAGCATCCAGCTCCTCCAACAGGGGACCAAGATGAAGGACTTACTGATCCAGGTAAACGAGGGATTTAGTAACACAGGTCTGTTTTTTGGTCAATTCAGAGAAATTCAGTTATCAGTTGATTTTTCTTTTCAAGCAAACTGGACCCTTTAGATTCTATATTTTTTGCAATTACATCAAAGTTTCCTGAGTTTCAGGTACAGCTTTGCAATATATTGATTTGCTGATTATATTGGGTTATGACTAAATTAGATCTTTATTTTTGTGATTGAAATGACTTATTTGCCTCTCCTTAAAGCTGCAGTACAGTGCTTTAGGGATTCCACCTTAATACTTCACTGATACTGACTGAAACGTGTCTGTTACACAGAGTATTAAAAACGGTCAAGAACCGGAAGCTGGCATCAGATATCTGGTCAATTTCACATCCTGGTTATCTTATTATGTGATCAGATAGTTGTAAGTAAGGTATGTGTGAATTTCCCACCTGCCACCACAATTTGCTGAAGTGTGTCAACACAAGCAGTAAACATAGAAATGTTTATAGGATACAAAAGTATCGTTTGTGTGTTCCACTCCCAAAACTTATCAAATCGACAAGTGAGATGCTGTCAGTTATATATAGATATTAGAGGAGGGCTACATGCATAAAATCTTCTGTCATGGTATATAGTATGTAGTTTTATATTACAATAGTGATAAATATTGTGTTAGTTAATTTTCTGGAAATTCAATTGATAAACCATTTAGCCTGTTTAGTTTGAACCGGTATAAGAAGTATAGTACCTGAGGTACTTCATCACATTGATGTAAAATCCTATAAATCCAATACTGCCATAAAACGGCCCTGCTCAGTGATTTGCAACCCTTCCTGTCATGGATTAAACACCCAGAGATATTAAATAGCTACCTAAGTATAAAAAGTATAGCAAAAGCTCTAACAGCTGATACATTTATATTGTCTTATGGTAAACAGCTTCATATCATCCAACCCTAAAAGATATGCAGGACTACAGTGTGAATGTAACTGTGTTGAAAGTAACTAATTCATTTTACTAATTCATAAAATTGGAGTAATGTTGTCACCACTGAACTAATTGAGAAGTATTAGGCAGAATTGATGAGCATGGCGGCAAAAACGAGGAAAACAAAGGTTGGATATAACGACTTGAAGAGATTTGCCTGCCACTGCTATCATGATTTAAGTGCACAGTCAGGGAAAAATGGTGATTGATGAGCCCTTCTTCTCATTCCTCTCCTGAACATCAACTAACAGAATACATTTAGAGCACGCATGATGCTCCACAGCCTGTGGATGCCAAGGCAATCAGCCTACTCCCTGTCAGTTCCACTTGAGCTGTCACAGGGGCCAGCACAAGGAGGGCTCCACACGCTGAATCTTTAACTAAAACGCGATGGTGGATACCTGGTCTTCAGGACCTGGAGCTGAGCTCCTGCTCACCGTTCATGGTTGTGTGAGCCTCATGTGTTCAGCCAAGCCTGACCATCACTCTGCTCTGTAAGCAGTCTACAGGCACTAGTGTTTTCCATGCTGTGGTGTGTGGTATCCACCCACACAGCATTACACATAAGAAAAGGCACCAATCAACAAATCATCTGACAGGAAAGCTCCCATCAGGAATAAGTCACACAGCACAGGTTACATTTGGGGACCATCAGTAACAAACTGCCCTTCAATTATACCAGCCTTAAACAATGGGGAGAGAATGGGCTGGAAATAGCAACGGAAAGATGGGTTGGAGGTGGCTGTGTGAATTGAGACCCAGAGTCGAGGGATATGAGTTTATTATTGGCTGCCAGACAGACTTGCTGACTGGATTGTGCTGACATTATTGGTATTTCACCTGTTCTCCTGAGGAGAGATGTTGGAGAAACTAATAACCTGACTCCACAAACCCTCCACACTCCCACACCTAATTTGTTATGGACAAAAATGGCTGAGGCTTAATTAAGTTTGTTATATTAATTACAAATTGATTCATCTAATTTTCAAAAATGTGCATTTCTTACAGCTCTCTCCTCTGGCTGAAATATTTTAGGTTTGAAAGCTGCAGTAATTGCGCTGATGATGCAAGGCATCAATGATATTGTGAATATTTGTTTTGCCTCCCATACATCATTCTTTGTGCCAATGCATGACTCCGATTTTGTTTTGGACTATTGGACTTTAAAGTTACATCACAGATTCTTCAGAAATACGTGAGTCAACAATTTATCTAACATCCTAAACAAACTTTTGTTATTCGGCTCCAGGGCATGGCCGAAGATGCCTTTGAAAAAAAGTTCAACACACTGGAGGTGGATCTTATCCGTAGTCAGCAGCTGTTTTGTAGAGACGTCCTGAAACTGAGTCCTGGACAGCGGGCAGTGATCAGCAACGGCAGGGTGAGTGGACTTTCACAACACAGTTCAATTAGCATCTTCTCAGTTACCTCAGAATTTCTACATTGGATCACATTCTGATGCCAGAAAGGTAAAACACCGGTTAAATGTTGCTGCTATTTTTTGGTACAGTGGCGTAGGCTGCTGCACTTTGGTGGATTTTCCCTCTTGTGTTTTCAGAGTGCTTCCTTAGTACTGTCAGATCAGCGAGACTGTTTCTCAAAGGTCACAGGTGGCACAAACTGCACTTGGCGTGGATGTTTGTGTGTGTCTGTATGTGCTGACTGAATGTGAGTACGGAGCTGATGACTGATGTCTCAGCAGCAGTGATGCTGACAGCCGCGGATGAAGAGGCCAGCCTCTGAGATGGCAGTAACAATTAATATCATTTTACATTTCTCTGCTGCAGTGGCAGGACTGTACTCCCAAAAATAGAAAGGAGGAAAACACAGGCACCATGACTGAATCCCATGCCTTTAAGTGGATAAAACCCTGTGTTACAATCACATTACATTTAACACCCCCCTTGGCAAGTGGTAAATAATACATGCTGAGATAAGAATTGGGAAAGTCGTGTTCTGACTGCATTATTTTTCCCTCATGTTAGATCCTTGGTCCATTTGAAGAGCAGGAAGAATTCACTGTGGAGGATTTCCACTTGCTGGAGAAGATTACACTGAGCGGTTCTGCAGAGAAAGTCAAAGCCAAAGTTAAACAGATGGGGATGAAGCCAAAGCAGTATGTTTGTATTTTTCTGCCTTGTTATGTGAGAAAAATGTCTCTTCCTTCTGTCTTTTTTTAACTGTCTGTGATAAATATTGGAGCAGCCCGTCATTAGAGGATGACGGCAGTAGTTGTTATGATGTGGAATACCTTTTACCTTTTTACACTTTTCTTGAGTTTGTCTTAAAGGTTCTACAAACAGTCCTCTTCTTTTCCCCCTTGAATGAAAAAATCTTGCTGCTCAAATAAGTGTTCTATAATGCAGCAAATATCCGTTTCTGAGTTTGAAGGTAGCGTTGAAAGGTTGACATCACGTAATGTGAGCCCCGTTTGACATCTCTCCTAACATGTAGTAGCATTAATAAATGATGGACTGACCCTGCAACACCTCTTTTCCCTTAGTGCCAGTGACTTAGTGATGAAAGTTGATGCCCTCCTAACTGCTGCCCCCAAAGGAGAGGTCAGGAGGGATGTTGACTTTCTCAGAGACAGTCACAGGTGGGCAAAGTTTTTTCTTTGTTTACTGTCCTATTGGCTCTGCAGTCTCACAGCAAAGTGTTTACTTTTCTTTTGTTACAATGGATGTGAAAATCGCTACGCCATCATTTCAAGCAGTCCAGAAAGGCGAATCTTTTGATTTGCAGTTCTGCTGAATAAGGGTTGTATAACCTTTTTGTTGCTGAATCCGCTTTGGTGCGCTGTTCTCGTCCTCAGTGTGCTCCGTCTCTCCCCGCGTGAAAACGAGGTGTTCTATGATGTCGTCGCCATCGTTGACCCCCTCACTAGGCAGGCACAGAAGATGTCCCCTCTCCTGATTGTAAGCTGTATTCTTCGCTTGTATTGTACTCCTCTCTTTTCCATCGATTCCTGATACAGCAAGAACACTTTAGAATCACTTTCACTGAAAGTAAAAGTACAGAAACACAAAGCTTGCCAAGGTGCACTTCAGATACATTCTTTATTCTTTTTTCTGTTACATGATGCTAATGATCAGTTTCATGGTTTAGTTTCACTGTATCCCATGGGCTGTCTGCTGCATATTGCTGGAGGCTTGGTGTGTTGAGGATTTGACTTGGGTGAGCATGAACATATGACTCACCATGCCTTTACAGACAGCCACCTTCAGTAGTGTTACAGTGTACACTTTTCTGTAGCACACTGCAGTATGCAGTAATATAATGCCAGCATATCAGCGTCACAGCTGGTTTGAAGGAAGGTAGCAGTCATAACCACTGGCTCATTATTTTTGACCGCTGTAATATCATGACAGATGTAAAATATGTGCCTAGCCATTTGAGAACCTCTTAAAACTCAGTAATGGTAAGGGCAAAGGTAAATGAAACTACAAGCTCTCTTCAGTCCTATTGTTCAGCGGTGGTCTCATGTGTCTTGTACCTCCCTGCTCCTGGTTTCTAGCTGGGTCTCTTCTTCTGTGACTCCTGCAGGTGCTCGGTCAAGTGGTCAACCTGAGACTGCAGGTGTTCATGAATTGCCGGGCCAAGTTGTCCGAGATGCCCCTTAAGAGGTAAGCTCTGGCTCCAACAGTAATTAAATTTTCCTGTTCAGCTTGTTTGTGTATCCTCTGACCCCTGCAGACGTAGCATCTCTGCCTCGCTCTTTCCCTTTGTAAGACACACTGCACAGATGCAATCTGCTTAATAACACTACCTTATTGCTTTGGGCCTCCCCTTGCATCTCTGGGCAAATTGCTTACAGCTTGCACTGTTGCGGTTCAAGTCATGCAGTAAAAACAACAAAGTAATTTAAAAAAACAACAAAATAAAGATTGAAATTGCCCATTAACATTCACACCATTGAGTGAATTGAGCAACACTGAGTAATTTGTTATGGTATTTTGTTTTTCAACACCAAAAGGTGGTGGTGGTGGTGGGGGGGGGGGGTATGACCTTACAGTATGACCTTTGTCAGAGACCAAAAGTAATAAATAAAAAAAAATGATAAAATGTTTCCCTGTCCCTCCTGAGTGACTGTAATTCACACAAATATGCTACATGATATTTTCGCATGAGAGATAAATTAGCTGGATGTCTGCAATCAAGCTGCTACTAGCAGCTCCACTAGTCCAGTAAAAAATAAATCTTCCACTTTGGGGAATTAATGACCTTTAAATTCACAAACAAATGTAATTTAAAAAATACAAAATATTGGATAATGGACATCTCTCCTATTTTTTTTTATCTCATCATAAAGATCCTGATCACGAGAGGGTGACATCTAGTTTAACTCGGTAGATGATTTTTGTAACCGCAAAGTTACAACTTCCCTTCTTGATGTCCCTTGTAGAGCCATCTGCTTGTTAATCCTATAGCCCAAGCCCTGGGGATAGTCCTGCTGGGGGTTGCACATGAATCCTTTTCTGCGTCAGTGGGTTCATTTCATTTACTTTACTTCTCATAGTGGTGAGACCACAGGGCAGCTCACCTTTTTTCTCTCACTTTTCTTCTTATGCCGAATTGGTCATCTCACATATGGGAACCAATCAAATGAAAATTGTCTTTCCCCTGGTGTACTGGCTTTCTCCTCCTTAACTACAGCCTTTCCCTCACCACCTTACTGCGCTGTGGCAGCAGCTCCCATCTCACCCTGGAGTCAACAGCCCCTGTGTAACTGCTCCGTTATGCTGCACAGAAACATGGCTGCTGTCGCGGGAATTAACTAAAGAGAATGTAAAATGTGATGATGCACCTTTTGAGGATAAGAAGGCACTCTAAATAAAAATAATCTGCAGTGGTTCTGTTTATCATCTGCTATGTTATCTTTACTCATTATGATTCCTGGGTGTCAGAGGGCACACTGAAGAAAATAAATTAGCCCAGAACTAGCCTCTGCGACAACTTTGAGTAATAATGTAGAAAGGGAACATTTCTGGTGCACAGACTAGCGCACATATTTCTGTTATTGCCTGAGCAGGAATACTGGCAGTAATAATATTAGATTCTTCACTTTGAAGAGATTGTATATACCCAGCTGTCACAACAGAGCCCGTCTCTCCTGTCCTAGAAAATAGACTATTGCACAACGTGTCATCATTTTAGTGCTTGCTGAAGAGGACAATGCGTTAGTTGGATAGAAGTGTTGACTCAGTCCAATGGAAAGAAGTCCTGCAGGATATCCACCATTTTAGGGCTTTCAGCTGTCGTGTCCGTTGTTAATTTTCTGTTAATGGACAAGCACTTAAATATTTTTTCTCTGTCTTCACAGCTTTTACCGCTTTGTCTTGGAGTCCGATGTGAATTTCATGGCCAATGACACAGTGTCTCCAGGACCAGTTGCCCGCTTCTTGGAGCTCCCAGAATCTCCCCTTCTCACTCTTAATATGATCACACCAGAGAGCTGGATGGTGCAGGCTGTCCGCAGCCCCCATGACTTGGATAACATCCACCTGCAGGAGGTGTATTGCTCCTTTGTCACGGCTACAGGCAATCGTGTCATTCTCATCCCTCAATTAGGGCAGAGGCGCTTTCTATTAACTGTCCCCACATTGTTTTTTTGTCCTCTGTAATTTGCGGTTTCACTCCAGGTGAGCGGGGTTGTGACAGCAGAATATGAGCTGGAGCATCTCTTGCTGGAGGGCCACTGCTTTGACCTGTCGAGCGGCCAGCCTCCCCGTGGACTGCAGTTCACCCTGGGCATGAGTCGGGACGCGCTCATGTATGACACTATTGTCATGGCTAACCTGGTCAGCAGCCTTCTCTACTTAATCTTACAGTAGTTTTCTTGCACTGCATTAGTGCCACGGTTGAGAGAACAAGTGTGAATTGTACGCTTACAGTAAATACTCAGACTGCTGTTTCAACCACAACAGGGATATTTCCAGCTGAAAGCCAATCCCGGTGCCTGGATCCTGAGATTACGTAAAGGGAGGTCAGAGGACATCTATCAGATTCTCACGTGAGTGTTCACCACTGTCTAAAGACTTTTGCATTGTCTTTCCCTTCTCATTCCTCACAGATATTAATATATTTGAAAGAAGTTAGTTAATAGTTAATGATGCCAATTAGGCGGCTTCATCAGTAGTTCAGCATCAAGGTTGTTTTCGGCTACCTCTTCATTTCATACTGGTAGCTATGAAACCCATCACTATGGTAACACGGAGAGCTGCTGACACTGTAGCAGCTCAAGGTTTTGATGAGTGCAGGGAGTTCTGCTCACCGCAGAGGGGAGAGAGACAAGGAGGAGGAAAGGGGTGCTATTAAAGAGAAGACAGAGTGGAGGGATGATTCAGCTGGTCACCTGCCATGCTATCCACCTCAGGCTGCAAAACATCAACAGCAGAATGTGTTTTAGTTTGGACGGCGTAGGTTTCAAAGGCTGCATATACTAGACAGAGTGTGTGGGCGTTGCCTAATTTCCCTGGGCAAATAGAAACTGTATTGTGCTTTTGGTGGGTTTGATGAATTTTTAAACGATGCCTTGTATTCTTTTAATTCTGCACTTTTTACATTAAAATATACTGTGGTACCTTCTACTTAACAAATACTTAAACAAATTATTTTTCAAAGGAGCTGTATCATGTCTATATAACATAATAAAGAACGATAATCCCTCTCTGCCAAGTTGCGATAATTGCTTAAATCCCGACCATGTATGTGAGTCTGCATGGGCATGTAGCGCGGCGGAGCTAGATGTCCCTACAATCAAAGATATTGTCCTCTCTAGCTATCCTCACATAAGATTTAGGGCACATACAGCCCTCGGTTCTTCTGGAATCATATCAGACAACCAAGATTTATTCTCCAATCCTCCAGGTGAAGCTAAGAGGTGATGTCATTTTTCACCTTGGCAGTGTCATTATTCTTGTGGTTAGCGGCACTCTGCTCTGGTTAGGTGGCCGATCACAGTCTAGTGGGAGTGTCTGTGCTTTCTGGTCCCAGAGCCTGCGTTTTCCTCTTGCACCCTGTGTGCTGCCACCGCGCCTTGCCCTGACAGCGATGAATGAGATGGCCAGCTCTCCTCTCCTCAGAGCAAGGATACAGATTGATCTCTGATGCTTTCTAACACGAGCCCTAAAGGCTGAGTTCATCAGCATCAGCATCAGTGACAGCAGAGGGGTGAAACACAAGCAGCACATGAGCATAGGGGTTGAAATGCTCTTTGGGCCCAATGAGGAGGGGGCATTTATCATAGTGATAAGGTTAGTTTTTTGCCTTTAGTAAGCACTAGGATCGTAATGGTTTGCTGTGCATCATGGCCTATTGCTCATGTCTTCCTGAAGTTGGGTCTCTGGTGTTTCACCATCAGACCGTGCAGATCCTGTCTGCCAAAACACATTCTCCACTGGGCAAATCAGCCCTAAAACAATTACAGTGAAAGGCCAGTGTTACGCAATCAATACTGTACAGACTTTCTCATTAAATCTACCAGTATATACAGCATGGCTGGGAAGTAGTGATGGATAAAATAATGGTAAGGTGATTCCTAATGATGATGGAGGGTAATGAATATGGTCAGAGTGTAATCCTGGCATCTGTCCCAGTATCTGCTTTTAAGTGTGTGCTCTCACTGTCAGTGGTCTGTCCATTAGCCGCTGTTGTCTCCTTCATGAGAGGTGCTTATGCTGTATATTTTTCTTGCACTGTTGCCATGGCTAAAACATGTGAATCAGCCTCCTTCACAGATACACAAAAATGTATTTCACCTAAATGGTGGACTCTTAACACAATATTAAAACGGAAATCTGATTGGTCGAGCAGTTCTGTAAGTACTACTCATTTTAATAAGTGGTGATTTAGATATTTGTAGCAATGAGAAGTGATTAATGTACAGACTGCAGCGAATGGCCTAAGACATTTAGATGTCTAAAAACTGATATTTGTAGATCAGCATTGGTTGGTTTTAGTTGTTAAATGGTCTGGGCCTTATTCTACAGTTCCACTGCTAAATGCTGTCTGTTTACACTATATCTCTGTGCTGCTGCCAGCTCACTTGTCAATCAAACTCTATACACTGGCCCTTTGTGGTTTCAGCTGGACTTTAGGATATGTTACAACAAAAAAGTGTTTAACCTATAGAATTTAAAGTTGTATAATGTATGATAGTACAGTCAATTGAATTGTAAAAAACAAATTATAGTACTTATCGCTATCATGGCCAATTAATTAGTTTGCCGGATTGAATTTGCTACTGATTTGTAGTTCAAAAGATTTCTAAAGATTCTTCAAAAACTAATTATTTTGTCTTACAATTCATGTGTCTGTGGCTTAGGGCTAAGGAGTACCTTTCTTTGTGTCCAGGTTACATAATAAGGCTGAAGTTATATTTTCTGGGGTTGTATTGAAATGCTATTAAATTGAATTATGTAATTTTTATAAAACTTTATTCTCCAGTCTTTTGATGAGTTTAAATCTTCAAATGGGAATTCACTTTGTTAAACTAACTAGCTGCAGATCGATTGTCCAGATTTCATAACCATTGAGTTTCACTCTCAGTGATCACTTTCTTACTCTTTATCCACCCTTTCAGGCATGATGGAACAGATTCTCCTGCAGATGCTGGTGATGTCATAGTTTTACTAAACAGTTTCCACAGTAAGATCATCAAAGTCAGAGTGAGTATGTTTCCTAGATGTTTGCAAAGTATATTAGATTTCTCATAGCACTGGGCAGTATTCAATATACAGTAAAATGCCCTTCAGCAGGTCACAGATTGAGGATGTTGGAATGATTTTACAGTCTGAAATCACTGAGAAAATCTCCATTTTATGTCTCCTTTTTCATTATAGGTGCAGAAAAAGGCAGAGATGATCAATGAAGATCTTTTAAGTGAAGCTAGTGAAAGCAAAGGCATATGGGACTCCATAGCAAGGTGTGTAATCTATGCTCACATACAGCTAAAATTTGGTAAGTGTTAGTTGTTTTAAAACTCTCCCCCAAGCTGACTGACTGTAACAACTGTGAGGTCATTGATTGGTGGGTTTATTCATGTGCCTTCTGTTTGTCAATTATACGTTGCCTTTTCAGGAGATCTTATTCCTCCCCTCGATCCAGACTGCACTATTATGCTGTAAGATCTAGTCTTGCCAAAAATATGTGCTTCTGTAGGTATGTGTGTGCATTTGTGTGTTTCCCCCAATACTTCCTAACTGTGTGATCCTGTCTCCTCACTTAATGCTTGCTGTGTGAAGTGTTTGGAGCACTTTTGAGAAAAGGTAGGCAGTGTTGCTGCAACTCATTTAGCACCTGGAACTTTTTTTTGTTATACTCCTTAGCATGCAGTGTTTATCGGTTGCTTTTGCAATGAATGAGAATGATGGATGTTTACTTTTTTTATTTATTTATTTATGCAGCCATTTTTAGAACATCAAGAAACACTACTAGTGTTGTAACCTGCATATGTGTGTGTCCATGCACAAGTGCGTAAAACTACAGTATGTACACAAACATAACACACTGTACCCACATACACAGGGCCATACTTGGTTATAAAACTGTAATGTGAATTTAAATATTGTCGCTTAAACTCACAAACTATGTTTTGGATTTATCATCAGCTATGTTGCTGATCAGGCGGCAGGTAAAGGTGCGGGCCTTAGTGTGCGATCCCCTGGCTACAAAAAAAGGTTCTTGGAACGTGGGTTGTCACCTGTCTGGTGGGAAAGGAGCTCGATGTGGGAATACTTTTGAGCCCTTGGTGAAGCAACTATGTGTGGGTGATTTCCCTGGAGAACAGGAGGACTACTTGCATGGGCTTTGTGTCTGTGTGCTGAACAGTGGTTTGAAGTACTTGGCCTTGTTGGATTCTCTGTTTGAGGCCCTGGAGGTGTCACCTAGGGACGCCAGAGTTCTGCTGGAGGACCTCAGTGCTCATATGGTAACCCTGCCCTGAAGGTGCTTGACTGGGAGAAACAGCCTGCCTTATGTAAACGAAAGTGTTGTTTTGTTATTGAACTTGTGTGCTAAGTATGGGCGATTCACAACAAACACCATGCTCAAGCTTAAGTCTACCAGGCATCAGAAAACCTTAGACCAAAGATGGATGATTGACTTTGTAGTTAAATTGCTTGTATGTCTCGGACACTGGAATAAAGAGTTTAGCACAGCAGCAACTTCTTTGACAACACCAGCAGTGCAGGAAGGCGTGAAGCTAAAAGAGGAAGCCTTTTGGGCTTAGCTGGCTAAGACGACTCCCTAGCCATGCCAGGGTGCTGAAACTTCACATTCAGGAGGCGCAGTGCAGACTCTGTGCTGGTCATGGAACAGTGGACCAGCTCCTCTGTACTCTTGCTCTAACATCGGAGGGGTCTTGGGAGTTTGCCCATCCAGTCTACATGTCATGTAAGGACATTAGAAGATTTATGACCTTCATGGTTTCAGGGAATATCCCGTGTGGCGGGTTGTTTCTACAAGCCATCCGGTCTTTCCACAATTGATCAGGCGCATTCTTGGTGGGCTCATCCTCAGGGACAGACTCAGTATCTTCGAGTAAAATCGCTGCTCCCGCATGTTGAAAGGAGCTAATTCAGGTGGTTCGGCTGTCTGATCACGGTGCTTTCAGGAAACTTATTGTAGATGTATTCTAGGCTTGTCCAACTAGGAGGACACACCGAATGCGACCCAGAACAAGCTAAAGGGATTACAACTGCTGTTAGGATCTCTAGGGAGACATTTTGGCCACCCTGTATATATAGCCTACCTCTGCCATCACCAGGACCAGACTAGAAGCTGAAAGTGGCTGGGTAGATGGGTGAATACATTTACAACTGAATGTAATCTTAAGACCATTTCCCATGGTATGCTTTTGAGTAATCAAAATACTCATAAAGGGTTGAATAAGATGGTTTCAAGAGACATAATGCTCCTTAAGTGCCTGTGAGGTATGAATCTAAAATTTACTTGAATTTGACTGCATTTGGAGAGAGGGGAGTACTTTCTTTTGGCATGACTCCAGCATATCCTCCTTTCAAGACAACAGTACCCAGATGTCAAGACTTAGAAGCTACTCATCAAAAAAAGTCTAACCATATATCTTTTCTTATATATATATTATCTGTCCAACTGTCCACCTTAAACAGACCTGCACTGCAGAACCTGACCATAGCCATCCCACTCAGTCCTATAAACATCCATTGAAGTTTGGAAATAATTACTAATTAAAAGACAAATACAATTTAGAGTTACAAAATGTTGAAAAAATATGTGCTTGTTTGAAAGCTAAATCCTCACATTCTGATTGATAGATCTAAGTGGTTTTTCACAGGACTCTGAATGATGGCCCCAGAAAATTACAGTTTGAAAAGACTGCACAGCAGAATAATAACGCTTGGTTTGCAAAGGTGTCTGACTATTTCAGCTAACACATTGTGTAGACCTTGACCAGTGATCTTACAAAATACTATTGGTTTGAAAGCAAAGAGGTCTTTATATCCATTACTTCATTTGTAACATCAGAATGCTTTGAGGGATTCGTTGTAAAGGGCGGGACTGAAGGCCATATATTGATCTAACACCTCTGAAGAATTAGTGAGGTGGATCCATGCATCAGCAGGCATCAGTGAGTCTAAGTGACAGAGTTGTTACAAATTCTCTCATCTTTAGAGAGAACTTTATCTCTGTAGAGCAATAATGAGCCTGAGTGAAAATAGTTTTGGTTTTGGTGAAATTGGTTTTGTGCTTTCTCTCCCACGCTCTTTTTTGTCTCTGGCTGGGTGGAAGATGAAGAGAAGTTGCTCCTTCTCGCTACTCTCAGCCTGGGGAACTTTGAGGGTTCAGTGTTCTTTTATGCCGTGCTTAGAAATCAGGCGGAGGAAGCTGTAAAAGCTATCTCTCCCCGTGTGGTCATAGGACCTTGGAGAGTATTTGATGGGGCCTTGGCGGTTAATGTTTTTCCAAACCGATTCCCGATAATAGGCAGGGGTTGTTCTATAACACTATTTGCTATGTGCTTAGGAAAGATGAGAACGGTTGTGTCCACGTACTGTAGCTCAGAAGATGAACAGAATTGCAGAGTAGTAAGTTGTGATGTGAATGCTTTCCATGGTGGAGATACTAGTTGTGGTTTTATCTGTCATTGTGTGCCGTGTGGGTAAAGTGTGCGTCACTGTGTTGGCCGTTACAGTGTCTGAGTTTAAAAAAATATATAAAAATGCACATGTAGTTAATCTGTTTTTCTTTAGTGCACATGTTCTGCTGTTCCTTTCCTCGTTTTTTGCCATTTTCTTCATGATTAAAATGTCGCCTGTGACCTATTAACTAACAATAACTCAAACCATGTGTAACTTGGAAAATATTTTGCAATCAGTTTCCTCCATTCCTGACCGAAAACTCGTCAGTTGCTGCTGCTTTCCCATTTACGACCTGTGTTGACAACTTTTGCTTTTTACTTTACACTGTAGACTGAATGCCTTGAGCAGTATTGTACCCAGACTTTGTCCCCTAATAGTGTGTTTAATCTTGTGGTCTTCACAAGATTACACACACTATTTTTACACTATTTTGGTTTGACTGTCCATTAAGCCATATACATGCAACAGCATGCAAATAACCGTATAAATAATGGAAAATAAAGTGCAACTTTATGCTTTATAGTCCATGTGTACCTATATATCAACTATCTTTTTGTATGCTGATTGCCACACAGCTTAATATTGTAAATTTATCTGTATGATTTCCACACAGATGTTAGAATTATTCAGTCTACAGAGTTGGAGGAAAAACAGAAGTAGACTTTTGTCTGGTTAGTGCTGTCCACTGCTCAGGATTTACCCAGAGCTTTGTTGATCATTCCAGAGGTCCAGATTATCTCGAGTGAGTCAGCCAAACAGGCTCTCACCTGACCATCTAAAGCTGCTTATCTGGAGGGCCCCACTATAGTGCTGGAGGCCCGTCATAATGGCAGGCTTAGTCAAGGCAGGCAGTCGGTATTCCCAGACCCTACAGATGTGTGGTGACTCCCCAGAAGGCAACAGCCCAACTAGAGAAAGCATTGCTTTGGTTTGAGAAGGAGCGCAGGGAGAGAAATGCACCAATTTTTTCAGAAGGACAAACAACAAATTATTACAAAATGGTTAAAAAAAAAAGAAGAGGTATGTGTCCTGGGCCAACATTAAGTTTGTGTTTGTGTTGTATGGATGTGACTTGCTTACCAGTCAGTCTCTTTTTGTGTGTCAGAGTTTTAGAGGACACGTAGAGACAAACAGTATGCTCCCTCTCCTCCCTTCACACCTCCCTCTCACTCACTGGTGTCTTCCTGGAGCCTCGGGGCCGAGGCTGTGGTTGTGATTGAGTGTGGGGGAGACACTCCTTCCCTCATCAGCAGTCTGTTACAGACAAGGACACACAGTTTGACTGCAGACACATCTACCCTCCAGCACAAGTCCTGATTTCTGTCCGCTAAATGTGCCTTGCATCATGAGCCACTCCTCCTCAACAGCGGTTAGGGTATGTTGCTGCGTTCAGAAGTGTGGAGAATGACCTTTGGATTTTTCGGTGCTGGTATCTGTAGCTGTATATAATTTTTTAGTTAATCTAGTTTGTAACCTGCATTTTCAAATTGTGTTAAAATTTTTGCTAATATATACTCATTTAGTTGATAGTTTAATTCACTGTGAACGATCATGGACTGATTGCATAGGTGCTGCTTTTGTACAGCAAGTTGTGTAAAGTAACAATTTGGGCTATTTTTTCCCCCCCAAAGGTGCAGTGAGTTTTATTTCCTTGCTGGCTGGTTTGGTATTAAGGTGGCTCATCTTACACCACAGTGGGAGGAGAGGTCCCACAATTAACTACATTTCATGCTGCCAGCTTCCAGTTCCAGTGTGTTTGGACTATGTCAAAAGTACACGCTGTACTCATGTTCTGTGCTATTTTCATCACTTTAATTAGTGAAAAGACAGCCATATTACTCCTTTGAGAAACTTGAAGTAGCAAACTTGGCATTCAACTTGGTAAATGACAAGTATTAAAAAAGTCTTAAATTTCATATTTCAAAAATAAGGCCATAAAAGTCTTAAATTTCATTTACCAAGGTCTTAAATTTGTTCTTGTCCTTTCGTAGGATTAAATAAATGCCGTAACGTCATAAATACACTTTTTATGTGCGTGAATTTATAATTTACTCCGTTTGGTGTGTCTCTGATGTTATAGGCAGTACAGGTAACGTTACGGTGATCAGCTGTACGCTCTGAACTGTGAAGTGTTGGCGGTGCACGAGCTCCGGCATCCAGCTCTGCGCAAAGTTGTTAGGAAAGAAAACAAATCGTCTCTGACGGGCTACTAACCATCTAACGCTAGCTCGTCGCCTGAGAATGGGAAAGTGTCTGAAATTCAGAGGCCGAGGACAGTGGCGTCACACTATGGCGAGCGCCAATGAAACAGCGGAGCTGGAAGACCCGCCTGCGACATGCTAACGCACATTACGCAGTACTAATCACGGGGATGAGGAAAAACCAAACCGGAGCCCAACTCCTTATCCCTGCTGCTTTCAAGCCAATACTATATAACACTATATTTCAAACAGCCTTAAGATGCACAAACCGAACAGGATGAATAATCACTAAAGCAATTGGCATATTAAATTACATTACCTTATCTAGCCAAGGTCTAACTGATTGTAACTCATTCTGCACAATTTGTTTGTATTTTTGATTTCACGCCTTATGAGTTCTTAGTGCACAAATATTGGATTCATTTCATAGGTGTAATTTACGCTGGGGATACTGGGGACATGTCTCCATCACTTTTTTCGAAGCATTTGTTAAATATGTTCTGAAAAATGGCTTGCAACAAGAAATGTTAAAAAAAACAAATGGAAATACTTGATAAATGTTTATTTTCACAATAAGAAATAAGAAAATAAGATAGAAGACACAAATGTGCATTGTCATCTGTATGACTTTATATGAATAAAGACAATTATACCATAAATTGGTGCAGAAAATCTCTCCAGAATGCAGGAAATATTTTCTAGGGGACCCCCAGACCCCACATTTATATATTTCAGCATTGAATATTTCATCAAAATAGTGTTAAAATATCTTCTTGTCTTGTTCTCATGAACCCAATATTGTAAATCTGTGTATCGTCACACCTCTAATTCGAACCCCTATGTCCCCACCACTTTTCAACACAAAGTGACGTCCTTGATTCATATTACAGTACAACAAGTACAAACACACCCCAAAAAGCTATAGTGTGTTAAATATTAATGTATTATAATAAAATGTTTTATTAAATACATGTAACTTTGTAAATAACTTTCTGTGGCATTAAAATTCATACAGATTTTTCATTATATGACAGTGAAGTTGGTATTAAATTTCATCCTAGGTGGTATTAAAAAGGTCTTAAAAAATCTTAAATTTAACTTTGAGAATCCTGGGGGTACCCTGGACAATCTATTATCAAAATTGGCATTAATAAATTTTCTAACAATCAAGCAATCAATTCAACTAATTGTTGTGACAATAGGTTATGCTGTGCAAATGAGCAGTGTTGACAATGGTACCATCCTCTGGACACACAACAGCTGTGTATGTCTAAGGGGCTGGCAAAATGGCGCCTCAGGCGTCGTTTTTAATTTCAACATGACGTGTTGGAGGAGGGACATGGCTATTCATATATGTTTTGGTTGGATTATGCGACCACATAAAGGCTTAAACAGGCAATGTGGTTGTTTTTGCATTTAGTCCAATCTAAATTGAATGCATCCAAATATTCACTTAAAGGTTTGTTAAAAAAAAAAAGAAAACCAGCAACATTTTTTTAACCTTTATTTATTGGTTGTACTGGAATACATTACTACTCACAATGTTTTTTATAACTGGATTTGGATAGTGTGGAATATCATAATTCCAAATAAAACCCCAAGGAATGTGTCGACAACATAGTGACCACAAGATTTACACTATTAAATATGTATTAAAAAGAAACAGAATGGGCTGCTGTACATTTACCTACAAGTCTGCATGCCACAAAGGAGAATATTAGTATATAAGCTCCTCTAGGCTTTCCTTAACATTACCACACTGTCATTATGTACATTATGGTTGGGAGAGCAGGGAATGAGAGGAGCTGATGTGATTGGACTCCCCTAACACAATTAACTATAATGTATGACAACACATACTTGCAACTTGATTCACAAAATGGGGCCTGATGTGTTTATTTAATTTCTGCTGTTACCAAAAACTTAGATCCCATGACACAGTGTTTCCATTTAACAGTGCATCTATGATTCAAATGGTTCATTTTAAATTATTTACTTCATATTATGGACTCTATAAGGGAGATATTTGCGGTTTAATGTTACAGCTGCTTAAACTGTGTTTCTTCTAACACAGTGATTACTTAGTTCTCTAGAGGAGTGCCAGCAGCAGGACTGCTGTTAAAATCACTTCAAAATTATGGCTTTTCTGAGCATTGCCATTTACTTTATTCTTTTTTTTATTTGAATAAAACGCCCCAGCTTGCAACACAATATTGCATGGTTTGTTTGAAAATGTTTTCTGCTGGCTCTACAAAAGCATGGTTTCTACTGGCTTTGTTCTGATATACTGTCACTATATGAAAAAAAATGCATCAATCAAAAACACAAGAGACTGAAATATTATGGTCTCATTTACAGCATCAGTGGTGGTGGCTCCAAGAAGGATGAGGGAGAGAAGAAGAAAGAGGATGTTCTGAACATATTTTCTGTGGCCTCGGGCCATCTGTACGAACGCTTTCTGAGGTGGGTCACTTTCAGTTCACAAACACTCGCACGCTTACTTTTAAGGCCGTATGCTTCAAGTTCCTTATTGCCCTGATGCCTGAAACTGATCTTTCACTCTTTGTGTCTATTTCAGGATAATGATGCTGTCCGTACTTCGTCATACCAAAACCCCGGTCAAGTTTTGGTTCCTCAAGAATTACCTCTCTCCATCTTTCAAGGTACTTCATGACTCCTGACATGACTACATAATTTAGTTTTCTGCCTGTTCAAGATAACTTTATCCCGATTCCTGAGAGATTTATTTTTACCAAGCAAAGAAAAGATCCATGGGTTGTTTCCTCCTTTGTAATGGTCTGTTTAATCTCAAATTTTCTATAGGGGTGAATCTATTTTCAGTGCCCCTGACACATGTTGAGTTGCAAAAATGGCTTAATGGGGGTGAAATTTCATGTTGTATGTTAATGACATCCGGTTTATTTATCAAGTATGTCCAAATGTCTTGCACTATATATTATATAGTTGGGCTTCAGCCTTGCATTATGATTTGGCTAACAGGCATTTTAATACCAGTATCTCTTAATACAGTTGTCCAACTGCATCTGCATCACTCTGCATTTAAAGGCTTGTAACATAGTCACCTATCAGTGGTGTAGTCTTTTATGTGAGGGCTTCCACCTAATTGTTAACTGAATTTTGCACATTTCTTAAATGTTTAGTGTTTGTGTCTTTGATTTCTTTAACCACTGGTGTTTGTGTTTTGTTGCGGGTAGGAGACCATCTCTCACATGGCAGAGTCATATGGCTTCCAGTATGAATTGGTACAGTACAAGTGGCCCCGTTGGCTCCACCAGCAGACTGAGAAGCAGCGCATTATCTGGGGGTATAAGATCCTCTTCCTGGACGTTCTGTTCCCTTTGGCTGTGGACAAGATCATATTTGTGGACGCCGACCAGGTAAGGATCTAATGGAACTGACGAAGAGAAAGAGCTATGTGTGAGTGGCTTAAAGTGAGAGACTCGTCTATATCAGTCCCAGCCTTGGTGTGAAGTTTGGATGAGATTTTGAACACCCCTGAAGTGTCGTCAGTCTTCTCTGTACTTACCGATGTCCTTGTTCTCTCACAGATAGTGCGGGCTGATCTGACGGAGCTGAGGGATTTAGACCTGGAAGGCGCTCCCTATGGCTACACACCATTTTGTGACAGCCGCAGAGAGATGGAAGGCTATCGCTTCTGGAAGACTGGCTATTGGGCCTCACATCTAGGACACAGGAAATACCACATCAGGTATACTTCCTTAAAAAACTGTGAAATGGAATATAGCAGCACAAACAGTTCTGAATTCCTGGCAAGGACTTCGGGTATTTTACCTGCTGTTCAATCATATACACACTAGAATGACACCACAATCCCCTTCTTTATTTCTTTCACTCTATTGTTATTTTTATGGAAAATATAGGTAACCACTTCTGGCAATATAGGCGCCAGAATAAATATATGCATTTTAAAATATTAGTATTCAGAACATTGCGCTTCCACAGTCAATTCTTCCTTGTAGGCCATTCACCCACTTTATTTAGGCGGACACTTTTATGACTTCCCTCTGTACTTTGCAAAGTGGAATGAAAGGAGTTACAAATAAACAGAAGTCTAAAATAGACCATACTGCAAAATAAAGTAGATCTCTCACAATCATGAAAATACATCTTTCACTTGGATTCAGTAAATCATCTAGAGGAATTATTCATTATTCTGCAAGAGGGTGTGTGTGTGTGTGTGTGTGTAAAGTTCTTCCCAAGTCCCAAATATTACAAAGAAGAAAGAGGGACTGTATTCTTGTGTTTAGAGGCTGGAAGTGCTGTAGTTCTGCTTCCTTTAATCTATCTTGATCTCAGAAACTGGAAGTCCAAAAGAATGCCAAACCTTTCATGTAGTTTTAAAAGCTCACCCTTCTCAGGCAATAGAAAATATATAAATATAGATAATATTTGTGCAAGCTCAAATCGAAACCTATTGAATTCTCCCATATTGGATTATGCACTATTTTGGAAAAAAAAGTATTTGTGGCTACATAACAGTACTGTGTTCATCCAGTTTCCATGGTGATTGGACCCCACCAATTAGAGGTGCAATTCCTGTGGCTATGTTTTAGTATCTGATTTATGTATACAGCCATGGTACACATTAAATGAAGCAAGAGGTATGGAATAAAAAGTGTGGCACTAAGTTCTTCCTCCCTGTCAATGTGACGGCTAATCAGGTGGCAGCCAGTGGCTGAACAAAGAGAGCAGAACCTTCCACTTTACCACTTGCTGATGAGGATGGGAAAAAAGAAAAGTCAGAAAACCACAGTGATTTGACTTCATGCCAGTGTGCTGATTAGCTCTATGTGGCAGGACAAAAGCAGTGAGGGGGAATGATCCGCATCAGTGAGCCCAGGGAAAGCATAAGGTAGTGAATGTCTTAATGTCTCAGAATTGAATCTAATAAGTGAAGCTACACAGCCTATACCGTTGGTTTTATTAAGATTCCATTTTAGGCACAATATCTGAATGTGCCTGGGGTATTTCTCTTTATTGAGTCATTATTTTTATTAAGTCATTCATTTGGGCTTTCCCTTTCAGGACATGGTTTTCTCACACCTGATCCCTGTGTCCTCTCTCTCTCTCCTCCCATGTTTTAACCAGCGCTCTGTATGTAGTAGACTTAAAGAAGTTTCGAAAGATTGCAGCCGGGGACAGATTACGAGGCCAGTACCAAGCCCTGAGCCAAGACCCCAACAGTCTGTCCAACCTGGACCAGGTATGTAACATCAGCAATAACATCATTACGTTACAGGATGCAGAGATTTATCTATTTAGCACCTTGTATGATTTGTTGGCACTGTGTATCATATTTCTAATGCACCCTAATATTTTGTTTTATTATATGTTTAGGACCTTCCTAACAACATGATCCACCAGGTGGTCATCAAGTCTCTTCCACAGGAGTGGCTATGGTGTGAGACATGGTGCGATGACTCTTCCAAAGTCACTGCTAAGACTATAGACCTGGTGAGTCCCAGATTAATTAGATCCGACTGTGGAACGCTAATCAGTCAGGAAAGCTAACTGGCGTGCCTGGGAATTGCTACCATAAATAAATCGTCATTAAATTTAATTGTTCCTTTTATTTAATGAGATGGGATAAGTCTCTTTTGTCGTCTTCATTGTAATCCTTCTTTCATGTGTTGGAACATGCTGATAAAGTATTAATATACCACTTTTTTATGCCATGTTTTTAGCTTTGTTGGTTATAATAGTCAACTGAAGCTTCTGCAGCACTGCAAAGAAGGAGCATATTCCCATCCACTAATGTCAGTGAGGCACTTGGCATTTAGTATCCAACTGAGGTGCAATCCTGTAGTCTCCTAAACTCATTTAGGGAATTACTGGACTCGCTCCAGTAGACTGGAATAGGAAGCATTGTCTCATTGTGGTATAGGACACCACTCAGTAATTCAGACACAAGACATGGGCTAATGTCCTTTTAACAGAATTGGAAATCAAATTAGGTTCAAATGCCTGCCACAGACAGTGCTGGGAATGACAGTATGACTTGTTGGGAGAAAGTGGCACTGGGTGGTGTGAGTGATGTGTTTTGTCTGCTTTTCTTCTGCAGTGCAATAACCCAAAGACCAAGGAGCCCAAGCTCACGGCTGCAGCGAGGATTGTGCCTGAGTGGGTTGAATATGACAATGAGATAAAACAGCTACTGAGACAGGTCCAGGAACAGGAAGACACAGCACCACAAAAACAGACTCCCTCGCCTTCACAACATAAAAAAGGTTAACTAGAAAAGCACTATTTTTTTTCTCTCTGTCTACACGGTTTGCCCATTTTATAAGACAGAAAAGTATGTAACGTCGTCCATTCTACTCTTGCATGAACAACCTTCTTCTTGGCTCACCACTCTGCTCATTTTCATTATTTCTTTCAAATCCCCCCCCCCCCCCCCCCCCCCCCCCCCCCCACAGTAGACGACCAGCGTGATGAACTTTAGTGCCTGCCAGCACCATGCTGAAGAGGAAGGAGGCAGCACCTTTTACATGCAGGCCACCTGTGAAGCTTGAAGACAGACAATTCCATCTAAACATAGCGATGGAGTGTTACATCCCCAGCCGGAGAAGGATGTGATATTTTCAGAGATGCCATATCTGCTTCTGCAGTCAATACGCCTTACAAAATTAACACGTGATGTAAGTGTTAACTGCCAACTGTGAACATGTGGTGCGCATGCAGCTCTACAGTCAGGCCCCTGTTTCAGAAAGCGGGCTTAGTGAAAACTCTTGAGATTGTTAACCCTGAGATGAGGGGAAACTCTGGGTTTTCCGTTCCAGAAAGAGAGGTAACTTAAACTCTGGGTCAGTTACCATGGCAACTTGCTGGCAGGCTGACTTTCTCTTGGACTCCTCCTCTCCTGCCGAGCCTGAAGGAGCTGTCTGACACACGGTTTCCTTTCCTCATTCACACAGTCCATATCAAAGCACACATGGAACGCATTCATTTGCAGATGTTTACGTCTTTGGAAACATCGAAATCCTGGTTAGATATTAGTTCGTTACTCAAGAACCATGACCGCTTTTATGATGAACCTGACATCGTGGATTCATCTTCTGCTCGGAATAAAACTGCAAATCATCAAAATCATCATAGGTCCATAAGTATGTCTTAGTTGTTTGAGCTATATTTTCATCTTGCTGCCACCTGCATTTTGTGCATATCAGGTTACAGCTAAATAAATATATTTAAAAATCTAATGTAACATACAGAAGGAGTCCAGCACTTTATCATCCAGGATTAATGGATGATTGGAAATTCAAGCTCAATACTAGAACCGCCAACGGGTCAAATTTACCTGTGGCTGTGGCTGATTGTATGTGTCTTTGTTTCAATATAATATTCAAGTCCCCCAGTCTCTAACTTTAAAAGTGTGTTATATAGCACCCCCTATTGTTAAAAAATGTCAAAGCTAGATTTAAAAAATGGGCATTTATACCTATAAGCGCCAGCGGGTAAAATTTACCCCTATAGAGAATACAGTCATTTTAGCGCTGTTCATGTCGCGCGTTTAGATAAACACTCTATGTTGCTATTGGCAACGCCTTTCCCACTACAGGCATTACACTTGCTCAGCGCAGTGAGTGAAGGAGAGTCTGATGGTGGGGGCTGAGCGATGTGTCCTAGGTTGATTCTGCATCTGACCTGACAACGATCCACTTGTATGAAGTAAATATGCATAAAAGCCGCTGCTCATAGGTTTTGTGGTCCCTTCAAGAGAGCGTGCGGCTCCCTCATGTGCTTTTTGAAGGCTATAACGTTTCCAGTGCTGTGTATTTTTTAGTAAAAATGATCATTATACATTTTTCCGTTGGGTAAAAATCTACTATGAATTTTGGAATTGATAATCGTTTCTTTCGAATAAATAGCCTACTTTTATTTGAACTATCAAACTTTTGTAGCTACTAGGCATAGGCCTATGTGTTAATCTGTGGATGCCCGATGGAGTCCGAACAAACAAGCAGAACAGTAAGAAGTAGCCGACATTATGAGGCTATTATTAGGCTACCGCCTATAAAACACTACAACAGTCAGTCTTTTTTGTAAATTGTATGCTGCATTTAAATTCAAGCTGTATTTAGAATATAACTAGGTTATAACATCTATAACAGCGGCAAGTGGATGACATCATAAGAGCCGCCGCGTGTGAACGTGCCCTTCACAGATGCGCATCGCAGGCGAACGACCTGCACGGTGAAGACAATGAATAGAATAGAATAAACTTTCTGTAAATGCCTGAAATATGGGGATGGTGTTTATAGGAAATGCACAGCCAATGTGTTAAATGTTTCAAGCAACATGTAGCAGAAATAATAACAAAATCACTGCATTTTTTAAATTTTACCCGCTATGGCGGTTAAAGGTAGCCTATACAACGAACCCTGGCGGTTCTAGTGTAAATGAAGATTGAGTGGACTATGCTGAATAAAATTTAATAGTGTAAAGTTATTGACTCCTTTCTCCACTCCTGTTTTTTAAGATGAATATCATGGTCTGCATTGGCATGCATTCATATTTCTAGTTCCACTGGGTTTTACCTTGGGGCTCTGCTTTTTATTTACCTGTTGCCATGGTGAATCATAGAATCAGACCTCCACTGATGAGGGCGTTTTTTTCATTTCCCTGGGATGAACATAATCAGACTTAATTTCATTAAGCCAGATTAGCTGTTCTGGAATGGAAAACTCAGTTTACCATCTCATGGTTACTCAACTCAGAGATTAGGGTTAGAGTCAAGAGTTTGTTGGACCTGCTTTCCGAAACAGGCCTCAGGTCTTGGTTACTGTGTGTTTACCAGAGATTGAAGTAAATACAAAGTGTAAAGGGGTGAAGTCAGTCACAACCCTCTATTGGTGTATGTTTGAGTGTAAATAGTTGGCATATATTGCACTGATAATGTATGCAAAGAATCAAATGGAGAAGGCACATTTTTAAGATTCTTATGACAAAGTTGAAATTTTTTTATGCAAAACTTTCTAAAAGTTAATATATTTAGATATTGTATTTGATGTTGTAAACAACATGAAGACTTTCACTATGCTTTGACTGAAATGCCCAAACTGAAGATGTGACTGACATAAAACTAGTCCTGTTTTAAACTTCACAACAGAGGTTTTTACATTAGAACATTAGGACTGTACATTATTATTGGAGGGGCTGGAAAATTATTCCTCCATAAGTTATTTTGTTTCAGTCTTCCCTTGCAAGATTTATTATATAAAAGGGATCATATAGTTACACAAAACATTTTCCACCTCACCATCAAATATCTAATGTCTGTTTTTGTCTCTAGCAGAGGCATACTTTTTTCACTACCCTGTACAGTTACTGGATGCTAATAGTAAGCTGAACTAATTGTTCTTTTGATCAAAGAAATGAAACATGTTGACTGTGGCTGGACTTTATCATCGGGTCTTTCACACTTAGTCGAACTCTTACCAAGAAAGACGCTGAGAGGTGGCGCAGCGTGGGAGTGTGTGCCATACAGAGCTGTCTGTGAGCAGTGACCTTAACTATTTACTGGCAGTGGGCGTAGGTTTGCATATAGGCATTAAGGATATACCCCTACCAATATTTTGGGAGGACAGAATTGTCCCTTCTAATATTTGAGCAAACTCGCATTATCTGAAGTGATATTAGATCATTCCTTTGTGCCCTCCCAGAGGCTACATCAAATTATTGGCTGAGATACACGTGACAATTGGGTAGCTGTTGTGTCAGAACCTGGTCAGAACAATGGACAGCGCTGAGAGAGAGGGAGCTGTGGGCTGCAAATAGCAGTTTCTGCACTGCTCCCCCTGCTGATTTTGACAGAATCATTCAAAAAATGTGAGGGCTCTGATTAATAAATGTATTCTTTGATTTTGAAAAGTTAACCTTAGGGCTTGTGTCCATATAGCGTTTCTCTCACAGCACAAACACTTAGTCTCAGCACTATCCAGCAGGGTGCCAGTGCTTTTCTGCCAGAGAGAAACAGCTATATGGACACACACCCCCTTATGTTGTTATTTAGCCTTTCGGAGGCTATTGCTTTGTTAAATGAAATGAGCCTTTTATGAAAGGCTGGGGAGGATCTAGCTTTTGTATAAAATTAAATATAAGATTCAGCTCCCCTCCCCACCACAGTCAGCTTTCCCTTAGAACAGCAGTTAGACACCCCCCAAACTTTGGATTTCTCCATGTGGCTAAGCAGTGTGCTCATACATCCACCATGGATGTGCTGGGTGCTGTTGTAAGAATGGTACTTTGTATGTGAAGAGTTTGGAGGCTCATTTGTTTACAAAACCAAAAACATAAGTGTAAGAATGGACTAAGCGTTATGTTTATCTGCTCTAACATAAACTGGCAACTTCACATGCTTGGCAATCCAGCTTACTACTGTAGCTAACATTACATAAACAAGTAACCTAGTGTTATTTCTAAAGGCAAGGGGTATTATTACGTACCTACAGTATGAAGGGACTTGAAGGGTCTATTCCTTTTTCTGTAGTAAGCATTTTAACTTCGCAGGTTATGTTATTAATATAACATTAATTACACTTGCATTATAATACTGTACTATGTTAGGGCTAAATAGCTCTAGCTCACCCTGCAATACAGTTAATGTTACACATAAAGCTGGTGCGACATGATTCATCAGCTAATGGGATGCTAATTTTCTGCTTGGGACATGTAGCTAGCTTTAAAGGTCCCATATTATGCTCATTTTTAGGCTCTTACTTGCATTTTGGGTTTTTCCTAGAATCTCATTACATGCTTTAATGGTCAAAAAACACATTGTTTTTTCTCATTCTGTCCATTGCTTCTGCACCTCTGTCTTAACACTCCATTTTTGCTCCTGTCTCTTTAAGGCCTCGCTCCGTAAAAGCCCACTTTCTTCTGATTGGCCAACTGGTTTTTCCTCTGACACCCTCCAGCTGCTGTGTGTCAAGGAGTTTGCTGATGGACATAGCTTTACTTCTTGTTTGCCACTAGCTTGTTAGCTCAGCCATGCAGCTAGCCGTCCTATAAGCTGATACTGCATGGATTTGAAGCTTGGTGTGTTGTTGTTTACACCTCTGTTAGAACAGAAGCTTTGGACCGCTGCTTCAGGCAGAGCCAGCTGATAACAGCAGCTACATGTAGCAGTAGCTAGCTGTTACTGTAGCATTAGCATCAAGCTATCTGTCAATAAGGAAACAACCGTAAATCACAGAGAGATGAGGCAGAGCAGCTGGAGGATCAGAGGGAAAACCACAAAATATTTATTTCCTTCATAACCGCTGTGAGACATACTTAATAACCTCCAGTTCGTGTCCACTAGGGAGGAGGTCCTATGCTATACAGATCCCGCCATGTCAGGAAGGGAGGCAAATTAAAATGCTGTTCTTTTGCTGTTCAAAAGAAATATTGCAAATTTTGAGTGGTAAGTCTTCCACTACTATGGTAAACAAGTTTGTAGCAACATTAAGTGGGCGGGGCTTGGCCCTCTGTCATGTGACTTTGGCTCAGCAGACCTGGCAAGACTGGATTACCAAGTTCAAAGATCAAAGAATCCTCATTTGCACACTAAAGGCCATTTGTAGAACATAGGATTTTAACTTATTACATTATGTTTACATCATATGTACATTTAAGAAGAATCTTTCAATGTTTTAATTCCACGATGGACCAGTGTTTTTGTCTCAGGAATAAGATGGGTGTTGCTGTTCTGCTGAAGCAAACAGTATTTTTTGTGTTTGTCTTAAAAGTCAATACAAATGGGTGCAGGAAGTCTGCTCTCAGGGTACCCATCTTTCATTGTGCTGTGTCAAATAGACATGTTTATATTACTGTCTGGTGGAAAAAAATAAATCTTTGCTACAAAATTTACTGAGACTGGCAGTCAGTCATTATAAAAGCGGTTTGTGAATTCTGTTGTCCCCCTAATGTGGTCAGTGGATGTGTGATTCATGAATTGAAAGGTCTACATTGAAGGGAGATTCTTACACTAATTTGTTCCTCACCGTAAACCATTTCACTGTAAAACTGCATTTGTGAGGAAGAAAAGCACTTAAGATGGTTGCAATTAGGGAAAGGTACCATTTCTCAAACTGTAGCATCAGTATGTAAATGTAGCCAAGTCACTCTCCAACCTGCCCATACAGCAACACCCCTGCCGCTCAGTTTAATTTAATGTACATAAATAGGTCTTTATTTACAGTTCAGAATGAGAAAAACTCCATTCATATAAAAATAGTACTGTATCTATGTACAAATTGAATCCTGTGAATTGCAGTGTACAATATGTGGAAAGGATGCAAGTGTCAGAATTAACCGCTTAACACTTGACACATAAAAGCTGCTTCACACAGAAAGATATTTGTTAGCATAGCAACAGACCTTCCCCAAATGGAATTCAAAGTTGTATAATTCAACAACAAAGATGCATCTTTAATTATGGTCACTGAATTAAAGCCACAATTTGCTCCACATTTTTGTGAGATGTATCAGTATGCACTGACATTCCTTATGCCAGTGTTCTCCCTTTTAAATAGGGAGGAAAATACAAAAATCCACTCCAGCGGTGCTGGATATGAGCTTCCTCAGTTGAAGTTGAATTTAAAGTTGAAGGGTCCAGAGCCAAATGGATTGAAACCCTGGAAGCCTCCATGGAAGTGATGATGGCTGTGACCCTGCTGACTCTCCGGATCCATGGGGTCCTCCCCGTGGTCAAACTTGGTTCTCAGCTCTATAAAAACAGATGGTGTTAGTTCAGAACAACTTATTGAATATATCCTCATGTATAGCGTTTGGATCATAATTCAATCCCTCCAGGAATTAGAATTAATATTTTGACAACTGTTTTTATCAATGGAGTATGATGTCTTTGATGAGAGCAATATAGTGACTGTCTCTTCAAGAAATAAATAAATAAATAAAGGTCTCTCTCTGTATGGAGCCTTTCCACAATCTTGTCAGACATATGTAATAAAAATCTAAGTATTTCAGGGGCAAAAACAAGCACTTTAGTGGTAGCACTTTGACGGGGTGCAATTGCCAGGAAGGATCACGTTGCAGCCCTGTCTCGCTGCCGCTGACTACAGTGTGCTCGCTCATATCTGGACCAATTTAAAATAAATGTTGTCCCAATTAGTCATACAAAAAAACATGGGGAAATAAGGTTCATCATTTCACTGAAAATGATGCCCAGTAAAATAATGGTCTCAAGCTACTTGGACAAAACAGTAAGTGGTTGCAAGCTGTTCACAGCAGCCCCTCGGAAGCCTGTCATTTACAGGGAGACTGGCAGAACAACTTTCTTCTGACTCTGCTGACCGCATGCTTTTTACCTGGGTCAGTGAGAACCTCTTTAGCCTGAGCGATGTCTATGAACTTCTTTTCAGCCTTCTTCTTTTCCTCTGGATCCTGGAAGTTGTCTGGATGCCACTGTTGTGCCAGTTTCCTGTAGGCTTTGATAATCTCCTTTTTCTGGGCAGTTCTGTGACAATAGGGAGAGTATCATCAGCACATTTATAAAGATGAAAACAGCTCCTCTTGTTTTCAACACAAGCTGGACCTAATAATACTTATCAAATTCTCTGATGTAATAAATGATTACTTTTTATAACTAAGAGTGCTTTCATTGTCTTAAAATGTATTCTCTCTCAAATTCTCAATAGAACTTTTCATCACAAAAAAAGGGGGGGAATGATGTGGCTTCCAGTGCAATAGGGCTTTTTTTGTGGAGTTGCGGTTGTTTTACAAAATATAAAAGAAAAAAAACAGACTGCTTTCTGATGCAGTCTTGTAAAAGCAAGTAATTTGTACAAAAATACCCAGATTCTTCTTGATTTCCCCCAAAGAATCTATAAAACGTCTTGTTTGGGAAATGCCTCTATAGATGGAAAGAAATATCCAAAATCCAGTGATCAGTGCCCACCTCTTCACTCCCAGGATCTTATAATAATCCCTCTTCTGAGACTGTTTGAGAAGTCGCTGAGCTCTCTCCAGGCCTTCTTTTATCTGACGGTCATTCTCACTGTGTTTTGAAGCAGTCTCATAGTCCTTAATAGCTGAAAAAAAAATAGCAGACAGAATCAGTATTGCTTACTCATTTAAAGCAGCTAGTGGGAAGTGAAGTACAGTACTTAAAGACAGTCGACAGAAAAAAAAAAAAAAGACTTCAAGACCTTGTTGTGGCAAGCATTCACGCTCCTAGTGTCTTTCAGCCAGGCAATGATGCTTGCCATGCTTTAGCAACATTGTATTGTATGCAGTCCAGTTGTGATAAAAAAAACCAAGTGAATTGAAATTTAAAGGAGAGGACGCGACTCTCTACATGGTACTGGAGCTACCGTAGCGACAGAGTAGGCTACAGCAACTAGTACGGTGTCGGCATCATAAGCATGCGTCGACAGTGTTTATATAATTACTCTCACAGCCGGAAGGGGAGACAAAAGTTTAGAACTGAAACACTTTGTTGACTCAATCAAAGCCTGATCATCTGTTTTGTCTTAAGAACAGAACAGATATGTGATCATGTGAGCATTATGTGACCTATTAAAAAAAATCAGCCATGCTAAATGAGAGGCCGATCATTCAATCATGTTATAAGTGTTGTCATTAAATAGTCTGTCCATCAGAGAGCGCTCTGCAACTCCCCTGTTGGCAACACACAATCCACATAATCAGCTGTACTTTAGTTCAAAGTGCTATTTATAACAATAAAAAGTTTACTTTTAAACTGCATTATGTCAGGTTATCTTGGTCAAGTCCATTAACTACACATAACAAATGTTGGGGATAATCTTTGTTTATGTTATGCGTTTCCACAGAGCAGGGGGGAAAAGGGAACGTCGGCTGATACATTGGATTTTAAAACCATCAAATATAAAAATCGGTATCGGTCTTAAAAATCTCAGTCAGGATCTACATGCTAACATGCTTACAATGACAATGCCAACATGCCGATGTTTAGCAGCTGTAATGATTGCCATGCTCACTGTCCTAGTGTAGCGTGTTAGCATGCTAACATTTGCTAATTAGCACTAAGCTAAAAGTACAGCTGATTCTTATGGGAATATAATATGGAGTTCAGCAGTTATTTAGTCATGACATTTCTGGCAAGTTGAAATTCTGACCTAATGATCGCGTTGGAAGAAAAGTCAGAGGAAGTGATAACATTCATCCTGAGGGGATCATGAAAGTCTGGGCCGTCTGACATTGAGCGATGCCGCTAGCATGGCTTATAAATAAAACAGGCTACTATATCTGAGATATTGTCACATTTATCTAAAGACAAATAACTGCACTTAAGTGTTGCATTAAAAGAGGATATTTTTATTGAAAAATATATTTTATTTTTATTTTATTATTTTTTTCAACTGTTGAGGCTTGCTGAGACTGTTGTGTTAGAGATTTGATAATCTGTAGTGAAGTAAGTGATGTGATGTTTGAATATTTAACACAAACATGATAAATAATAAAAAGAACAATAAAAGCCCTGCATGAAAATAACTGAATATCAGACACTTAATATTATTAATGTTGCCAGAATCATCGGTATTGTTGACAGTTTTACATCTCCATCACTCTAACAAACATTATGACATACATCACATTATTTGACTAGTGTTCTTAGTCATCTTATCTGTGAAAATGCTTGATCTTTCCCTAATAAATAAACCACTTTAAATCATTAAGAAAGCCCCATCACCTTCAGATCATGTTGTAGCAGCTCCAGGCTGTTTGTGCGCGCATGTTTGGGTGCTTTGAAGCTTGTTTACTCTGTGAGGTGTACTGAGGTGAATTTAACTCCCATGGTTTCTGACAGTTTAAAAGCCCAGATGAGGTCTGGCCTTCCCACCTGCTGACTGTGTTCATGCCATGTTAATGACAACATACACAGCCTCAGCTCGGCGGTGGTTGCGGCATCTTAGTGAAGGATGTTATTACTCTGGGGCAGACCTACCTGGAGTGATGGTGATGTTAATTGTGGGTTTAATTGGATGTTGTGTACACTTTCCCCCCCCTTTTTAAGTATACCATCCTAGGGACATGTTTTAATAACCATATTTGGTGTTCTATGCCATAAATGGGAACATTATGGATAAAGTTTAAATTTACTAACACACATTGAACTTTAATCCTTCTCATTCATCTTGTTTTTATAGCTACAATTTTCTTTGCATGATGTGTATTGACATTTCGCATTTTAAACAGGTTAGCAGCATACTATTCCTGTGTGAATTATTTTTTTCACTGTAATTAGTGGACACACATGGATATAATCCTTTCCAAAATCTTACAAACGTTTTTTATTCATGCTTTTCTTGCCAGTTTAACTTTATTTAGTTTAACTATTTGACATGTTTATTTGCACTTTATTCTGGGGATGCAATGGTGGCCTAAGGGTCTAAGAAGAGTACCATGTAATTTCAGTGTCCCACGTTCAATTCTAGCCGGTGAACACCCGCCTCTACGCGTCTCTCTCATCATTGCTTTTCAGCATTTTGCAAGATACTATCAAATTAAAAAAGGCAAAACCGCCCCAACAAATACTTAAAAAAAGGTTTTAAATGTAAATTTAAACAAATGTTTAAATGTTGTGTACTAATTTCAGCAATAATGCCAGCATGACAAAACAAATACTGTCTGATTCTTACCAAGATTTCCTATCTGCAGCAGCTAGCCTGTAATGCATGACAGCCTTTCCCTTTAGCTGATTAACTGCCTGCATAGCCATTTGAAAGTGTCAGGTGTGAGGTAAAAATGTTTCCCATCTGCAGTCTCTAAATGACGCACACTGTCAAACTGTGGTCTCACACACACGCGTGCGTGCGCCAGATCCACTGTAGTTACCTCGATTCAAGCTTCAACTAGCAGCAGGC